TAATAAGTCATTGTAACAGAATACATGCTTAAAGGAACCCTAGTTATGAAGTCGGTGGCACATATTTGTAATAAGGGATTACTTCACCCCAAAGTTATTATTTGTGTATCAGTTACTCACACAGTGTTACGTTTCATTCTTGAAAAAATGTTCTCGCATGCTTTCGCAGTGAAGAAGACTCCAAAAGAAAAGTATTTATGAATTGAAGTGAATGGGGGCCAGCAGCAAAACGATCCACCATCAAACCATCCGTTTACTAACTCTCTCACAACGTGTACAGTGTGATCCACGTCTCGTGTATTCAGTTGTGTGCTTATTACTTCCTAAAACAAATCTTACTTTTTATATACTGTGTGGATGCTTCAAGGGCCTCCATTTACATTCATCCATAAAGATTGTTCTCTGGTTTTGATTCTAATCATTTTTTCAAGAATTCAACGTATCATGGAAGAGTCATTGTTAAAGTCATTGAAGTGTTCCTGACACATCTATAGTCTTTTGTTGCATTAAAGCTCATGTTTGTGTTTAGTGGTTCGATCATTTTGGGGCAACTGAATGGGAATGTGTTAAGGGGAACATGAAAGCTTGCACATCCAGCCGGATTATCTCTTGCTTTTCCCTGGAGTCCTGTTTTTCTCTTCTGCAGCCGAACTACTGCGCTGATTAATGCTTCAATACTTTTACTGGTTAGTTGCTAACTTTGTCTGTGTGCAACTTTTTACTACCAGAGTACTATCTTGATATAGTGCACATATTTAAAAAAAAAAAACATTACTTACATGTAGGATATTTCTAACATGTTCCAACATAGGAGATAGAATATCTTTGTTAATAAAAGATACTGTCCATAACAGCAGTCTGGACCAGAGCTGACACTTCTGCAGAAAAGCTTCAGCCGACAGCAGAGGAAGCTGTGGCTCACACAAGGTCTGATACAGAGCAGTGCTGCCTTCAGGGACCGGGGCAAACACTGTTTAAATGGGGAATAAACCTCCAGCTGAAAGTACGAACACACTTTTTAGATCAAATCTATAATGAGGGCATTCATACTAAATCACTATATTCACAGCCTCACATGCTTGCTAATGCAACGCTTTCTGATCCATTACATCATCAGTCATAAAACATGCACCAAATGCAAGGCATCACGTTTGATTAATAGAGATAATACGATTCTGAGACTCAACACTAAAATATTGACCTGATTTTTGTTTAAATATGAAAGAATCATTATTGAATCAATCCTTCACTGTTATCAGAGAGTTTGACATTTTTCAACGGCTTTATTGTTATATGCATAATATCTATAGTGTAGTGCTGCATATATTATGCATATAACAAGTGTTGCTCCAACAATGCAACATACAATATACTTAAGAAGAGAAAGAAAAAAATAGTGCAAGAAATTAGAAAAATATTTGTGCAAGGGACACAATAGGCGCGTTCACACCAAGTACTTTGCCGTATTTAGTGCCGGCACTCAGAGCCCCGGCACTTATGACCCCAGGGCATTTAGTACAGATCGCGTTCACACCGGAGTACTTTTCCCTGAGGGAAGATTACGTAAATGAAGCCGCTGACGTCACTTCGTTTTCTTCTGCTTTGGGTTTACTGGCAGGCCGCAAACAACTTCACGGCGTATACTGCCACCCGGAGTCCCCGGCAGGAAGTCCCCGGAATTGGGGACTAGCTTCAGTAGAAGCTGCTGGGACTCCCAACAGCTTCTACTGAAGCCTTCCGAGTAAATCGCCAGAACGCCTCCTCATCTCCACCGCTCCCATGTTTTCTTTTGTGTTGCCATAAGTTAGTCTCTCTGCGTTTGTGCGCTGGGTGAATGCTAATGCTAATAATGCTAATGCCAGGATAATAAAATGGCTGCTCTACAAAACATTTCAGAGTTGTACGGGGCGTGGTTTGCAATTCGCCCAGCCAACCAGAACTGGGGCACTTTTTTCCCCGAGGAAAGTACCATCTCTCAGCAGGCACTAAAAATGGGGGTAAAAGTTCCCGAGATTAAGTGCTCTTTTTGGTGTGAACGCGACATAAGGGGTGCTAACGGAACTAAACGGGAAAAGTACGGTGAAAAGTACTCCGGTGTGAACGCGGCTAATAGCCGCGTTCACACCGGAGTACTTTTCCCCGTACGCCAGACAGTGGGACATGGGACATTGTACGAACAGTCAGCACACTCAGCACGGATAGTACGCGCAACATGATTGCAGCTCCCGTTCGAGCATGCCTTGAGCTGCACATAGCTCCAACGATCCATCACAGTGTCTCCACATTCTCTCACACACACACACACACACACACACACACACACACACACACAGTATGTATTATTGTATGAGAGAGGTTCCAGGTTGAATTGAGGCGAATATTTGTAATGTTCAGGTTGTTGTGTTTAATATTCATGAGATTATTTGTCATTGTTCAAATGATAATAAACAAACATATAAAGCATATTTGTCCACTCATATGTTGATAAGAGTATTAAAAACTTGAAAAATATCCGTCTAAGGTACATTTAGAACAGATAAAAAATGTGCGATTAATTTGCGAGTAATCGCGACTAACTATGGACAATCATGCGATTAATCGCGATTACATATTTTAATCGACTGACAGCCCTAGTTTTAATGCATGAATACATATGTATGTATGTGTTATATGAGCGTAGCTTGCTTATGGTCTGTTGACACTTTGCCGCAGCAGCATTGGGGTGAAGCCCCTCGATGTGATTGTTGTCATTTCTGGTTTATTTCCCCGTCCGGAGCGGACCCCCCCCAAGCATCAAAGCTTCCAGCTGCTGCCCCGAGATGATATACTGCCCTGAGACCCTGCTCACCTGCACTCACTGCGTGTGAGTGGCTACTGTATCTTTTCAATAGACATTCAAAATGATATGACCATAACAGATGCAGGTCATGAATCAAAGGTCTTAAACCACCCGGCTAGCTGATGCGTTCCACAGGTGCTACTGTCCCATCATGCACACACAACACTGAGGCTGCACATAGAAACACACTCAGAGAGGAAGCCCCCCTGCTCTGCTGCCTGCTGTGTCCTCTCTACCTGCCGCAGATCTACATCTGAGCCTCGCATGGACCACCACTGCTCCTGCCTTGTGTGAACTGAGCTTGTGAACGCGTTGACCCCATCAAATAAGAGAGGAAAAGAAAATGGGAGCAAAAATGCTGCACAGCATATCAAAGCATAACTCGTGTACCCTTTTACTGAGCCCAACTCAAATTAAAAAAGCATAAAAGTGCTCGAAAAATAAGGATCACACATGTTTCGAATATGCTGAATTTTAATTGATGGTAAATTGTGTTTTTGTAGACGCCGGACTACGCATTGAAGTGGTTAGAGGTGTTTTATTAATGGACATAACATCAGGGGAGGAGAAAAATAATTGATAGCATTTGTGTTTGTTTTCAGGGGTTTCGGTTTGATAGGTGAACCAGTTCCCTCAGCTGTGGCACCTGTGATGCTGTTAAGTTATTGAACTCAATGCAAGATACATCAGAGGGACAATAAGCGGCACACATGTACCAAAAATATAAAATCATGTCATATTTCACAAGTACCTATCTGTGGTTTCGGAGACCCTCAATCAGTGATTCCCTCAGTGTTGCACAATTGTTTTAAACCAGGAGCCTCAAGGTCCCAGGTTCCAGTGCAGCTGGGGACATTTGTTGCATCCCTCTCTGCTGTCTGAAGGGACAAACCATTTGTACATAATAATTGAATTAATTAAAAAGTAAGTTGAGTTTTGATCAGTTTAACCAACAAGTTCATTTAAGAGGCTGAAAAGGCAAAAGTACTGTGGTAAACAAGAATTAGAGAATAAATAAAGTGTTCTATTTTCTTTTCTTTTATCATTACTTGATTTCAGTTTCACATAAGTATGTTTGCAATTTGATATATACAATTCGTACTCCTACCACATTCCCCAACCATCCTACTAGACAAAATTATGAAATATTATTTTACATTCTTGAGGAAATGATGGGTTAGTCAGCTTAGAAGTTGACTTACTACCTCAGAATTTGGAATATGTGAGCAATAATTGTGGACTTCTGGTACTATCTCTTCTAGTAGTACATTTTCATCTGGCTTTTGTTTTTCCAAACCAAACAGCACAAGTATACACATATGTACCATACATATACTGTAGTACATATGTGTATCTATATATCACACAGCTATAGATATACTATATATATATATAACTTTTACATGTGCATATGCAGCATTTTCGCAGGAACTTCATTCTAGAAACACTGTTATAGTGTTTAACTGTTAAACAAGAGGTTTGTGATTTTGAATAAGCAGTGTATCAAATAACTGTTGATAGGTTTGTGTGCTGGATATAAACTTTGTTTGTTTTGCTCTCTGGTGTGATCCAAGGTGCTGGATGTGATGTTTCTCTGCTGCAGAGTCTGAACAGCTGCTGAAGTGCAGCTCCCCGCTCCCCGCTGCTTTGCCAGTAAAGGACCACCGTACTGCTGCTGTCTCCCTCTGCTCTGGATGGGAGAAACAGAATCTCATCTGGGAAGTGGAACACCCTCGTCGAAAGCCCACCAAGGCCTGTTCCCAGTAACCCAGAGACGCCTGCTGGCACGGCATGAAACACATAGCTCGTAAGGGATTGGACCTGAGCTTTACTGCCTGGGCTCCTTACCCAATTAGAGCGGCTCGTGGAGGCAAAGCAAAATAGGGTGAAGTTTTTACAATGCCACAGGGGTCTGTAGAATGGATAGGCTCTGTGTTTGAGCATGGGGTGGGGGGCCGGGTGGGCTGGGGATCAGCTATTCCCAAATCTCTTTCATCACGGCCTGTCAGAGGAACCACACAGGTACGGAGCAGCTCCCCGGCCTCCAAAAGAAAAACTAACATTTCAATCAATTTGTGTACCCTGTCCTATAAGCTTTACCTTCTCAATATAAATCAGTAGTATATTGATGTACTCAAAGATTAGGAAAAGGAGACTGATGAAAAATCTCAAAACTTTATTTTCTTTCAGAGAGAATGTGATACAAAAACAGGACAAAGAAAAGATGACATGATAATAAATATCCAAGAAGTTAAAGCAAGATAAAAAAATAAATGACTCACCGTCAGAAAATGTGGTAAAATGGTTAATAAAATATATTACAACTTTGGATGATCCAAATCTACCTTGTTGCACTGTTTGTGCCTGGACAGGTTTATGGATGCATTTACACAACATTCAAAAAGTAAGAAATAATGGGTACATGTGTGAAGTAAGATGGAAATACTGTTAGCAAATGAAAGAATCAAAAGATTTGTGACACCTAAATCATGTCCATAAGATCAAACTCAACTGGTCTGGTTTTTGCTTCAATGCAGGTCTGCAACGTCCATTTCTGCTGGAGGCAGGAGAGGGCATGGAGAGGATCATGATGGATGTCTCTTGTGTTGCATACAGTACATGGTAATTCAATCAACCAATGACATAACAAAGCTCTGCAGACACACATATGAGACACACAACATGAGACAAGGATCTCGGACATGAGGAACTCCTAAAAAACATCACTGCATGAATGTTCCGTAGAGAACAGGATGTTGCAGTCTAACATTATGTCCCTAACCCTGACCCTACTGCGGGCTGTTGGTGATCGCTTTAAGAATGTCACACGTGTTCTTGGAAATGACCTCTCTCAGCTTCCGTACACGTCGCGGGCTTGAAGCGCCCACGTAGCTCTCCGGCTGAAGCACTGCCATGCCGTCGTTGGCGTTGCCCATGATGATGACCTGCCCCTCAGCGGCAGCGCCCGTGATGTTGGGGCAGGGGCAGTTCCAGTCCATGTTGAGGAAGGTGACCTCCAGAGGCTCCTTGCCAAAGAACCGGAGACCCATCTTCTCGTCCTTTAGGATCTCCTCCACGGTCACGAGGGCGTTGCCCGAGTCCGTCTCCTCCGTCAGCTCTGTCATGCGGCCCAGGATGACGAAGTCGCTGCGGCAGAAGCTCGTCACCATCTTGCCCCGCGGCTTGCAGGCCTTGCAGTGGTGGTTTTTCGGGTAGGGGCACATCTCCTCGCAGGCTTCTTTGGATTCAAAGTTGTTGTTGTTGCCCTCACAGCCTCCGTAGATGAAGGACTGGCACTGCAGCAGGGTGCTGCTGTAGGCCCAGCGCGGCTCGTAGGCCTTGCAGGGGCCCTGCAGACTTGGGAGGCCGCAGGGGCCGGCCAGCTCGGGGCCGCAGCACTGCATACACTCCTCGTACGTCTCCAACATCTTCCTGGGCTGCGGGCTGTTGCTGCCGTGGCAGTGGGTGAAGGAGAAGCAGTTGTTGGTCTTGGACTCGTAGTACCAGCTGACTCTCTCCATCTCGCTCCCACAATCCTCGGGGTTATCAGGCGGTTTCAGACACTCTTCAGGCAGGCAGCGGGTCACGTTCCCTGGGTCGGGGGTCTTGGGTGGTTCTATGGGCAGGACAGAGAGCGGGTGGCTGACCTTCACAGATCCAGAGGGGTTCTGAGCGGTGCAGATGTAGACGCCTGAATCCTGCGGCTGCGTGTTGTGGATGACCAGCTGCCCGATGTTGGTGACCACCATGTTCCCGCGCACGTGATTGGGCCTCATGGCCAACCTCTCCAGCCCCTCTGGCAGCTGCTTCTCCCAGCTGATCTCAGGTCGGGGGCAGCCTGTCACGTCACACAGGAAGCTGGCAGTGTCGCCTACTTTGACGGTCTGGTGAACCGGGCTGCTGACAACCATGGGAGTCTGAGGCTCGGTGGGAGGGGGTGGGGTCACCGGAAGAGGAGCAGTGGTTGGGCGCAGAGTGGTGGCCTGGGGCAGCGAGGGGCTGGTGTTGGGCCAGGTGAGGTGGAAGCGGCAGGTGACCACAGCCAGGCTGATGCCCTTGGAGCACGCCTCTGCGTCCATGTAGCACTTGTTGTAGTAGGTCATCCCGTCAGAGGCGCAGGTGAAGTGCGGCTCCCTCTCGCAGCGGTCCCGGCACTTACACACCGGCTGGCCGTCCCAGATGTCGCACTCAGAGCCCTGCTGGTTGCACATGAAGCTGGCGCAGGAGGCCTCCTTGGGCATTCCCATGGGGCCTTTCTTCCCGTCCAGATAACGGGCTGCCACACAACTCCGGTTCCCGCAAACATTCTGGCAACACTTTTCAAAGGATTCACACTCCTGTAAGAGGAGAAGAGAGTTGGAGATGAAGGAAAGTATTTGGAAAGTATTTGGAAAGTATTTTTAAAGTATTTTTTAAAGTATTTCAACAATGAAACATTTAAAAAAAAAAAAAAACTCATTACAGTTGAGAGCAGAAATTGAAACAGAAGATTTAAATAGTACTTATAATACAAAAAAGTGCATGCAAAATACTTTAAACAAACAGAAGAGTTAATTCTAAAATGTAACTTTAATGTTACCTGATCAGATACACACTCTCGGGTGCAGGTGCTCATGGCATCCACCCACAGGTTGGGGTTCATGTCATTGGGGCAGATCCCCGGGTGTGAGTAGGTGATATGCGGCAGAACTCCGACATTGACACACCACACTGACACACACACCAGGAACCAGATCCAGCGTGGAAACAGCATCCACCACATCTCCAGAGCGGGACACAGCTCCGTCAGCGATGAACAGTTTTTGGTTAAAGGTTTCTGTGATCCAGCAGTAAACAACCCCACGTCTTTGACTATAAAAGTTAGTGAAAACGATGGCAGAAGTCAAGAGCGCATCACACGTGTGTGAGTCTGCGAGGCAGGACGCCGTGTGTCAGCTGATCCGGTTTGGAGATGCTCTATTTATTCTAACGATCTGCAGCCATCGCCGCTAACATGACTCGCATCATGACAGATATGAGTTGCTCCTGAGATGTTGGAAGAAGCTTTACAGTGGTGCGCTTTGGGCTGGCGCTGGCGGGGCACCTGCCTGTTAAAAGGATTGCTGGGAACCCCGTTTAACCCTTTGCGCGCTCCAGCGCCATTGTGCGTAAAGACGCACGGAGAGAAGAGACTCACAGGCAAACTGTTGCTTATAAAACATACACAGGCTATTATTTGAAGATTGCACGAATTAAAACTGAGGATGTTTAAATCTAACCGTGATTCTGGGAGTAAACACACGAAAGAAAGACAGCATGTGTTTTATAATTTGAGTAATTGTTGTGTAAATTACGCTCTACTTTACTTCAGGGTACTTTAGTTTGAATATGAACTATTTTGTCATTATATTATTTTCCCGTTTAATAAAAGCCTCGAAAACATTACTCCTGTTTTCAACCATATCGATTAAAAAAGAATAGGCTTATAAATGCAGTCTTCTTTACATTTTTTAAGTATTAATTATTAAACGGATTATCCAAAGCAAAGTGCATTCAACCATCAAGATACAAACTTCAAAACAAGAATCCTAAAAGTACACGGGATTTCAATAGTGATACTGCATTAACATCCAATAAGTCAAACATTTCTAAGTGCTACGAAGTATTTTTTATTATTGCTACAACAAAATCCGTTTCAGAGGTTTGTGCATTTAACCAGATATGCACAAATACTCTGTCTAAATTTGATCTCTTCTATTGGACACAAAAGGAAGTACCTTTTTTTGTTGATACATGTACTTTCTATTCCAGACTAAATATAAGAAGATATGCTTAGCAAACATTGGAAGGTATTACCAATATCCTGCACATTATGTTTTGTCAAACTCTTTTACAACTATAATTCATCTTACAAACTGAGGAATTAACAATTGCACAGGTTTAACAAAATAATATAAAGTGAAATAATTTCAAATAAACAAGCACTAATACTCCTCAGTTTATAGTTCATTACCTTAGATAGTTTAGGGGCAAACGCACTAGAATGTAATTAAATCTAACTGCATGCATTTTGAGGAAAGCTGTTAAAAAATACTGACACATTTAAGGATAACATGTTGATGTTCCTGTAACACTGTAATCATTTTAGTGTGTGGGTCATCCATGTAGCTCTTCTTAATGCTTATTCAACTGGTAGTACTAGGTTAAGGTTTGAATAACTGTGTATTGAAAGTAATACATCAATAACACCTCAACAGTTTATTATAAATACACTATTGCAAACACATATTTATAACCTTGTATTTAACACATTGTTATGGAGTGTTTCCTGTCTAAACATGTGACGAGTGCTACGTGACTGCTGCTGCACAAACACTTCCATTCTTAACCAACTTTCAGCCGTGTACCTAAACCTTACAGCAGCCTATACATGCTCCACATTCTACAAAGCATGTCTTTGTAAACAGGATTATTTATATCAATACAACCACTTTGCATGGATTTACAGAAATCTCAAGAAGAACAAATTCCCCAAAGACTGGACAGACTGGCAGACAGCATTGCATCGACAAAACTTACTTCAAGCATTATAAAACAGTCCCAAGTTTTAATTTACGAACTGGCTTCATTGTGGACTTAAAATAGCAAACTCAACCTTGAGTACACCCCTATTCAAATGTGTCTGGTAGGCCAGCAGAGGTGAGGTGAGGACAATACCAGTTAAAACAACGTTAAGATCTGGTGATATTCTCCAAAGTGGGCGTGTGCGGAGGCAGAGCATTTAATGAATGAAGGTGTAATTATAATTCCTTTCCTGTGTAAACCTCTTCCTTTGGTTGCCTCCACAGTTCAGCTGAGGACAGAAGAGCTATTAGTCTGCCTTCCAGTGCAATAACAGCGGGCTCATGCTGTGGATTTGTGCTCATGAAGTGTTTCTGCAGGACATTGTTTGTTCTCAATGGTGATTTCTGTGTGTGTGCATGACCAGCAATAAATAAAACCTGTTTATCTGAAGCCTGCAGAGCTTCCAGTCTCAATCCTGTAAGAAGGATTACATTTGCTCTTTTCCCCTGCCAATGACAAACAACTGCACACATATGATTAACTATCAGCTTATTTCAACAGCTATTTACTGTATGGCCGGGTCTTTCCTGTGATTAACAACACCCAACATTCTTCGAGTTCTGTTTTCTGGTCTTTTCCTGAACAATCCAGCTAACAAAAGTCCTTATTAACATATACACGTTTCATAAGATTCATTTGAAGGGTTTAATAAAAAGATAAATATATCACATCTCCAGACAGGAAGAAGCTGGCTCACCTCACATCAACTGTCATGCACAAACTCTTTGTACGGAGGAGAAATTAATAAACTTGTCAAAGCAGTGAAGGTGGATACATCTTGGGGCTACAAATATGTAAGAATTTATTTCTTCCCTCAGGGAAAGCGTCAATAGGAACCCTGAAAAGCACAAAATCGTCCAAAGGCCCGTCCAAAGGCCCGTCCAAAGGCCCGTCCTCAGACAAGGGGTTATTTGAGGATCCAAGCTTCAAAAAAATAAACCACCTGGAGAAACTTTCATATTAGATTCTTGTGCAATTTGGAGAAAAATAAAAGCCCACACCAGTCAATTAAGACAAAGTATAAGGTGTAACTTGCAAGTTCCTGGTAAGACAATCACAACAGCTCCAGTGTAGCTTAATTGCTTGGTAATTAGCTTACTACAGTAAGCTAATTACCAAGCAATTAAGCTACACTTTTGGAGCTGTTTTACCATACTGTACCAGCTTATATACCAAATATATAACTAGGCCAACAGACCAATGGACTAAAAGTGTCAGGGAGACGCATTCAGGCCAGGAAAAGATGCTAAATTACCCAAAAGAGACGCTACACGATACACACAAATTATATAATCACAAAGAGACATAAAAAAGGAAAGATGCTAAATCACTACAAACAGTCTCAAATCACAAAGACACGTGGGAGATCCCGACAACGACAGTTTTCCTTTAATGTAGGAGACATGGTGCAGCATTTTGCTAGTCTGTGCCCTCGGACTCATAATCCGCCTATGGTACCATGTAGTGTGCATTTATGTAATGATTGGTTTAGTTTGGTTGTTTTTTGTGTCAATTACCATCTACATAGGCTACACAAAGTCACTCCAACATGATACTTAGACATGCAATATATTCATAACATATGCATAACCATGGCACAGGAAAAAACACTAAAAGAAAAACGTATTGTTAGAAATGTAGTGATGTAGATTTCATTATTTTCTTGCCAGAACCATTCAGATAAATGCCAAACTACAGCATTCAGCCAGTTAGCTTATCTTAGCATTTAGCCTGAAACCAAATTTAACAATGGGATGTAGGCCTACCGTGTAAGCTGGCTTTAAGCTCGACAGACAGTGGTATACATCTTCTCATAGAAAGCAAATAACTTCCAATTAACTCCTTAATAATTATAATGTATTGTACTCTAATGTTGTAAACAAAAACTCAAAAATATATGGTAGGCTACCATTTAATTTTTTCTGTAACAAATGAGACAATTGCCTTGTTTGTGTTTTTTTTTATCTAGGCCTACCTCACAAGAAACCTAATTTATTATATATATAAAAGATGGCAAGATCAAAAGATGGTTAAAAAAACACTTGTTTTTATTTTCAAAATTAAATATATGATAGATCTTCATTAAGTTTAGACGAGAAGAATTGCTAACATTTGAAGCTACAGCTAGCGGCTGCTAACAATTAGGGAGATATGTAACCATGATTACCAAATGTAACACAAAAGGGATTACAAAAACAGACAAAGAAAAACATGTTTAAGCTGGAGTGCAGGAATTCTGCACATGAATGACCGTCCGTTATTTATTTTAAGCATTTCACAAAATGCCTTACTAAGCCCATAGCCGCTAAGCTAAGCAAACCAGTTGCTAGCTTTAGCTTTATTTAGTGTACAGGTATGAGAGTGATTTCGGCTTCTTACTGTAGCAAGAAAGCTAATTTGTGCATTCCCAAAGAAGTTGTCCTTTTTTAACATTTGGCTAGTTTGAATATAGCAAAATAATATCCAGGAGACCAGTCAGGTTGGTATCGGCAGACAGACATTGAGCAACATTGAGGCAAGAAAGCTCTGTGCTTTGTCTGAACTCTGCTGAAGTTGTTTTCAAACTTCTACCCACTTCTGGTAAATTGCGCCTGCAGCAGAAACCGAAAGGACAAGTCATCAGACGTCCAGAGACAAACCTCCATGCCATTTCATGTAGCTGCCCCAGGGCAGGTAAATTACTGAGCATCCTGGCAGCAAGCACCCATTCATCCCTGGTTATCAGCATCCGATAGTTTTGGCACGTTAGACAAATAGTATGTGTACGCCATCAGTAATTGGAGGAACATTGAGAAATGCTAACCGCAGCTTCTCTAGAACAGCAAGCCACAGTGTGTGTGTGTGTGTGTGTGTGTGTGTGTGTGTGTGTGCGTGCGTGCGTGCGTGCGTGCGTGCGTGCGTGCGTGCGTGTGTGTGTGTGCGTGCGTGCGTGCGTGTGTGTGTGGTTGGGGCAGGAGACATCTTGCCAGAGATCTGAGGTGAACTACTCTTCTTAGTCCTGCCATGGTGCTATCCTGTGTGGTGTCAGATGAAATGCCAAATTAGGGGTAAAAACGTTCTGCTAACTTCCTTAGTGAGGTCCACAAGTTCACCATAGAAGACTGCAGATGTTATAGTGTTGACTGGAGACTGATGTTCTTCTAGTGGACCCCTGATTGGCTGTGAGCGCACTCTAGTGGATGAGTGGAATAATGACACTCTCATTTTCAAATGATTTTGTTTCTTATAATTTATAGCACATACTGTACACACCAAGTTAATAGTTTTACTACCATTGCTCTCAAATAAAACAGCCCTACGTTTGCTAGGTGTACCTTATAAAATGGAAATTAAGTAATTCATCCCTGTTTGATCATAGAATTGGAGGATGAAACCCTCTTTAATGGTCACACATGCAGAGCACACAGCACACACAGTGAAATGTGTTCTCTGCTTTTAACCCATCCTAGTACCAGGAGTCTAGTACTAGGAGCAGTGGGCAGCTATTGTACAGCGCCCGGGGAGCAATGGGAGTGAGGGGGGAAGGGGGTTGTCCGGTGCCTTGCTCAAGGGCACCACGGCAGGGCCCAGGAGGTGAACTGGGACCTCTCCAAGTAGCAGTCCACACTCCATATAAAGACAACTGACAAGTGAATATTTTATATAATCCATTTTGATGAATGCATCTTTCTTTGACAGTTTGCGGCGGCACGGCCACCTTTGGAGTATAGCGTCCATAGCTAAAGCAGCCGCCATCAATTTGTATTAGCTTTTACTGATCATCTTTTAGCTATTTTGCATCCAAAACGAATTAAGTATGTGCAATAGATAAATGCCCTTACAAAGAGAAGCTCATCAAGGAGGCAAAGGAGAGTTATTTTCCTAGATGAAAGTTAATGAATACAATTAAAAGAATAGACCGATCACTGTTACTGAAGTCGTCGACTATCTGTTTTTTGGAGTGTGAGTGAGAAATTCCCTACACATGTCTGTAAGTTCAAAATGTCAAATATGTTATCCTTTACAACACTTGCAGTCTAGTGCTGATGTTGGCTACATCTTCTACGTAACTTCCATGTTGAAAACAAATAAGATAAAAAGCAATGTTCTTTTTCTTATTTTATTTTGTTGGTTGTGGAATATGAGGGTAAAAGTTAAGCAACTTCGCTTGCCGTGCCCCCCTAACACTGACTTTGGCCCCTGTGGCCCCCCTGAAAATGAAAAGTTTATGATTAAACGATTTCTTGGCTGACGGAATAGGCGGAACTAACGATATTTGTCATTCTAGTCGAACCCATTAGAGCGTAAAAACTGTAACTATAAGTATCTGAAATAAATATGTGTACCAATAACTGTATTGCATTGTTTTCTTATGCACAATTACTTCATACTGTCTTTGTCTTTTTCACCCTGCATTTATTGTGCCCCTCTCAGAAAATAACTGCCCCCCCAGTCAAATTGGTCTAGAACTGCCACTGAAATGAGCTAAAAGCAGAATCCAGAGATCCGTTCTTGAAAATGCGGACTGGAGGCGGGACTTAAGCAAACACAAGTGCCCAAGCTTTAACAGGTAGTTTTGCTCCAAAGTCAGGCCATTTTGTAGTGATGGGAATTACGGCAATTTGAAGGGAGCCGGATCTTATGGCTCCGTTCCTTTCCGAGAGCCGTTCAAAAGAGCCGTTTTTTTTAAGGGGGCGGGGTTAATAGGTTTATCTGGAAAATAATCACCAGGATAATGATTGACTGTATTGCCAGAAATCTACTTTTACTCACAGAAAAATGTACAACTTGCTAGATCTCTCAGCCAGCCAAACTACTGCTCAAGCAGCATGCGTTATGCCATCATCTATGGCAAATTTGCATTCAGGAAAGCAAGTTCCTTTAAAGGCGAGTGGATTAATGGCAGGCAGTGAACCAACGATAAAAAGAACGGCTCTCACCAAGTAGGACTCCGTTCCCTTCATTCGTACCAAAGAGCCGTTCAAAAGAATCGGATCGTTCGTGAACGTCACATCACTACCATTTTGGTTTCATGCGCCACTGAGGTATACTTTCGTAGGAATTAATGCTCTATCCATTTCTCTTTGTACATCCATAGATCAGTGAATAGGTTGCAGTCAATGTTATCCTCCAAAGATGGCCAACTCTCTGTTGATGTAATCACATTCCCATCCCTTGTTGCATTATCATTTTCAGTCTCTGCAAGTGTTGTCACCACTACTCTTTGGTTATGTGCATTCCACTTTTAATGTGCAATATGTTTGGTGCCCCTGAGTTTCAGTATCATACCAAGACAGCACACAAACATTGTTCTTCCATTTTTTTTAATAAAGGCTTTATCATCTTTCATATTTTGGTGGTACAGAGTTCAAGTTTCAATAGATTTGGTTCACAAAAGAATCACATATTAAACTGAGCAAACTTCCCTAAGATTAAACAATTCTTTAAAAAGTAGCTTAAATAATGGTACAGTAAAAAAACAAGTGGGTTTATCACAAAAGGAGTGTTGTTTTTCTTTTGAGGAAAGTAACAGTGGCACAATATTTTTCTCTGTAGAAAAAAAATAAAAATAAAAAAGTTCCTCCTTTTTTTTTGTTGTTGTTTGTTTTGCAGCAGTCAGCCGATTAGAAAAGTATACATTCACTGGCTTTCTTTATCCCACTAGCAGAAGGCACTAAACAGCAGGCTTGGATCAACTAGTACTTGCACATATGGCTTGTTTATCCTTATGAGATGCCAAATGGACATTTCTTTGCCACAAAGAACAAAACATTCAGTGCAAGAAACTTAAGACAATCACAGAATATGTAAATGTTTCTGATACGGGTTTAGAAAACAATACAACTGTTTGCAATGGCTAATTGATCCAAGTCTGCAGAGGAGGCTTCATTCAAAACCAGCAGTGAGTGCCCTGAAAATAAATACCAAGTTCACAATAAAGGTACTCTTCAGCTCCACTGCCAGGTCTGAAATGCAAAGTCACACTGAACTGAGCTCATCCTCAACCCTGGTTTGTACAAATTGGGACGAAAGGCAGTTCTACTGCGTCAGGCCTGCGTCTTTAGCCATGCCATAAAAGATTCCTTTCTGTGATAGGAGGTTTGTCGGAGTGTCAAACTCTGCTATCTGTCCCTTGTCCAACACCAGCACTCTGCGAGGAGAAAGAGGAGAGCATGAGTCATTTACAAAACATGGATACTTTGCAGAGTTTGGATTATTGGCATGACCACGATATTACCAAAGCAGGCGGTACAAGGTTCACATAGTATACAATCCAAATGATATACATTTATACACAATGTGGCAAATGGATGGGCATTTGAAATGAACCAATTAAGCATTATTTGATCGCCCAAATATATATACAGTACATATACACATTACATAAGTAATGGCTTGTTATTATGCAGAGAAAGGTTGTCTATTAATACATAATTTTCGTGATTGTTTCGTGATTTTGTTGTTGTTATGTTACCAACATCTCTAACTCATCTGTCTCCATTTTTGTTGTGATTCATTGTTTGTTTGCCAGGTGAGGAAGTTGTTTTGTACTGTTGGTTTCTACTGACGATAGGATGAAGTAAAATAATAAAGGATTCTTAATGTCAGTAAGCATTCGCTTCTCTATATTTTCTAAAAGCGAACCAACACAGAATATAAATATTTTAAGTTTGCTTGGTTTATCACATTATTCCACTGATCTACGGTTAGCCGTAACATGCCAATAAATGTTGCAGTGTGTCAAATATGCAGGTTTTAAGATACAGAAAAATGCTTTGCCATTTTAAAAAGTGCCCCTTTTCTGTTTCTTTGACCTGAAGAATACACACAGTGAGCTTCGGTGAGATACACTCAATGTTTGTGTGCCCTTCACAACCCAGAATACTTTAGGATCACTAAGGAGCTTTGAAATCTGATTGTTATCATTGTTCTGTGTTTACTAAGTTAAGCTGATTGCTGTTGATGGATGCATTAGATTTCAAGGTTTACTTTAAAGTTGAAAATGTAAAGTATTTATATATGTTGAACCTTGTGTAATCCATGATTGTGTTGAGCCTGTGAGCGATGGTGAAGACGGTGCAGTCCTCAAACTGAGTCCTGATGGTGGACTGGATGAGATCATCAGTCTCCAGGTCAATAGCAGCTGTAGCTTCATCCAGGACGAGGATCCTCGTCTTCCTCAGGAGAGCCCGACCCAAACACACCAGCTGCCTCTGGCCCACACTGAACATAAAGAGCACACAACATGTGAAACACAGCGCTAAAGAGAACAATCAGTTTGTCTGCTAACAACCATGCATTAAAAGCTGCTGTATCTCTCCCTCTGAACAAACCTGAGGTTCTCTCCTCCCTCGGAGCACTCCAGCTCCAGTTTGGCCGGCTGGTTGCTCACAAACTTATGGAGGTGACAATGTTCCAGAACCGCCCACAGCTCTTCATCACTGTACTTCTCAAAGGGATCCAGGTTCATCTTCAGTGTGCCTGAGAACAGCACAGGCTCCTGCAACAGAGACAAATATTTTCAGGCTTGAAACATAACAGACAATCAGAAAAAGGCCCAACGAGAGGTATTATATATTTTGGATTGTAGTAGTTTTAGTCGCTTCTAGTCAGTAATCCGTAGAAACCAACAGTACAAACAATTTCCAACTACATTTTACATATTTTGTTAGGAAAAACATTTTCTCTGACATATTGTGAGGAGTGTGTGCACATGTGTGTACCTGTGGAATGATGGTGAGCTTGGACCTCAGGTCGTGCAGGCCTATCTCTGAGATCTTCACGTCGTCGATGGTGATCTCTCCTGCTGCAGACTCCAGCAGTCGGAACAGGCAGAGCGTCATGGAGGACTTCCCAGCTCCTGTACGACCCACGATACCAATCTGTGGACACACACACACACACACACACACACACACACACACACACACACACACACACACACACACACACACACACACACACACACACACACACACACACACACACACACACACACACACACACACACACACACACACACACACACACACACACACACACACACACACACACACACACACACACACACACATTAGTGGACCTTGTTGACCCATTATTGCTTACTGATGGCCACACCAAACCCCCCCCCCCCACCTTCTCTCCTCCTTTCACGCTCAGTGTGAGGTTCTTTAGGACGAGGTCCAGTCCCTCTCGGTACCGGACGCTGTAGTCGTGGAACTCTACGTTCCCCTTCATGGGCCAATCAGCTGGGGGCTTCTTGTCCTCAATCTCCCAGGGGGCCTGTGAACAGAAGAGCAGCATTTCAGACCAGGAACACTTTCTGAAGAACTCATCAGTTCGCAGTTAGCAGAACTTCAAATGACTTCTGTGTGTGAGTCAGAGCTACCAAACATTTATTTCCCCTCTGACACACACTGGATGCTCCAAACAAAAGCTTTCACTAACAACTATAGCAGTTATACATGGGGCACACACTGTGATGGCTGCTGAAAAGTAGGAAGAAAGTACACTGTGTACAGTGCACGTGCCATGTTTGTCTTGTATAACAGAGGGGCCCTTGTTGGCACCAGGTAATCTAACATTTCTGGATCTGGTTATAGTTTATAGGTTTTTTTGAGAACATGACTTGGCAGCAGGACAGTTTTTTGGAATGTGGTTACATTCCTCCTTTTTAACTGCAGCACAAAGCCAACACTATTTTACTGCTGCAAGCAAACACATGCACAAGCCAACTTCTCTGGAATACTAGAAAGTGACACACACACACACACACACACACACACACACACACACACACACACACACACACACACACACACACACACACACACACACACACACACACACACACACACACACACACACACACACACACACACACACACACACACACACACACACACACACACACACACACACACACACACACACACACACACACACAAACCTCTGTCTTGGTCTCAGAGTATTCCTTGACCCGCTCCACTGCTACGATGTTGTTCTCCAGATCTGAAGTCATCCGCACCATCCAGTTCAAAGACATGGTCACCTACAACAGAACCACAGAGTTAGAATAAATGGTTCAAGTAGTTTCCTAATCGTTATAGACGAGTAGCTAAAATAGTTTGCTTAAAAAGAAACAAGGGGTGGATGAATAGTTATTACCTAAAAATAATAATACTGTAATAGTAGATACATGTTAGGACTTATACACATAACTAACTTCAGCTGCTGATTTACATTACTTGTTAAAAAAAAAGTGAAATCCTGCAGATGGATTTAGTTGCAGCAGTTAGTTAGTACCTGCAGAGCGTAGGACACTGACAGACCCACGAGGCCCGGGTTCAGATTCTCCTTTCCAATCACAGCAAACAGAGCAGCGAACAAAACGATGCAGTTCCCAATGAACTCGATACGCACTCCCAGCCACCTGTGGGACACAATATATATTATTAAAATACTTCATGCATCTGGTTGAAAGTTCAATTACGATGTTTATGTTTTGATGAGAAATTGAAATCTGGAGTGACATTTGCAAGTTCAATGTAAACCTTAATTAATACTGACATCTTGACTATCCTTAAAACCAGTTATGATTTTCAGGAGGTTATTAAACTTAATTGCTTGATTATTTTTTAATGAAGTGGATACATATGACCACATGTATTCATCTGGTAGCATATATAAGCTAATGGTTGCTTCTGTTCAATACTGATTGTGGATTACATCAATCCAGCTCATAGTCATACCCATATTAAAACAAAATATAACAATTAAAATGAAATAAAAATCACGTTTTCAGTTTTAATTGATTGATTTGATTTATTTCGTATTAGCTACACTAATGTAATGTTATAACTATGTCCTCCGGGTCATATTTAGGTCGAAACACGTCTACCTCTACAGACAGCAGAGGGAAGCAGAGCCTCCCATAAAGGGACGTTTTTTTTATGGCATCGTGGCTGTAAACAGCATGTTACCTCTGCTTCATGGTTTATTCCTGTTTTACAGGTTTATTAAATGTTCATTAACAGTGGTGTTAGTATCAGCATAGACAACATACTATTCATCTTACTAGTGGCTATGTGAAGGAGGATAAAACAATACTGTACTTTTATTTCATATAATAATTTGTTCTTCTCTTACTATTTATTGTTGTCATCTTCTTAATGTGTCAATTTCCCCTTAAATTCTTCTTCTTTTTTTACTTTCTCTTATTTATTGCCTTTTATCCTGATTTTCTTTGCTTTGTCTGTTAAAGCACTTTGACACCTTTTTTTAAAGGTACTTGTGATGCCCCTGTGGGATCATCAGTGGAGAGGGTGTGGCTGTGCTGTCTGTGCTGCATTGGCTGCACTGATTGCAGTAACTCGGGACACCTGGGTCTGGTGCCTGGATAATATTGTTTTATAGTTGGACACAGCTTCTGTTCTGCTGAGCTGAAATGGGACACTTACCTGTTGGAAACTATACCCGGGTAGTAACACTTTTGGTTCTCATCCACTTTCATATCACTCATGAGAACAAAGGCAGAGTGCCTGCCATAGGCTCGGATTACACTAGTGCCGGTGACCGTCTCAGAGAAATGGGAGTATATGGGCGAGCGGCTGACTGACTCCAGGCGCTTTAGCTGTCGGGACGTGGCAACGTAAAATCTCTACAGGGGTGGGGGGGAGAGAAACAAACACAACATTACAACTGAACAGGGTGTTAAACATGCTCAGATGTTAAAAACAAATATGATGCTCACAGACAAGTCCACACACACTCGCACACATGCAGAGTAATTAAGAAGCCTGTGTGAACAAAACACCCACAGTGATTATTTAATAGTCCAATTTACACATTTATGATAGGATGCCAACTCAGTCTACATGCATATTACCTGCAATAACTTTACACCGCATGTCAACAGAGCAATCATGTTAGCAAATAGTTAGAATAGGAACAATAATCCCTTGTGCATAATAACTCTGTGTATTTCTGCACAGTTAATAACATGTGTTCAACTGCAGGTGTTTTGTTCATTACACATATTATGAAATGATCCATTTATCGGGCTATTATTGGTATGATTAGTTAGGCTATCATAAATTTAGAAATTAATCATTCAAACAAAGACTACGTTTAGAGACAGATGATGCCGCAAAGACATAAACCATGCAGGATGAATGTCATGACAAAGACAAAGACAAAGACATTTAAGAGATTGTGATAGTGAAGCAGATTTAAGCTATTTGAAGGTTCATTTAGTTAGTGTAAATGTACACGCGCACTAAAACACCCCATGAATTTCTCATTTCTGTATCATTTTCCAGTGGATCCAAGTGGATTGGATTGTTGATTTGAAATGATTTACAGACTGACTGATTTTTTGATTGAGTGATTGATTATTCCTTAACTTAAAGGTGGGGTAGGTAATTTCGGAGAAACCAGCTCGAGATCGCTAGAATTTGAAAATACACAACCGGAGAAAATCTGCCACTTCCTTACAGAGCCCCTCCTCCAACACACATGAGCGCGCACATGACCAATGAGGGCACGAGATAAGTTTGTGCACAGATGGAAGGCTGACAGGCAGGTAGGCCATCCAGTTATTTTACCCGGGCCGGCTAAAATGATTGGTCGTGCTTTTTACAGTATTACGGCTTCCACAGATGACATTTTGTTATGGATTTTTTGTCAAAGCACTTCAGATATTCATTGCTATCAGGATGTTAAGAGCATTCCATGGAATATAACAAAAAGTGTATCTCGAGCCGGTTTCTCAAACTTACCTACCCCACCTTTAAAGTCTGTAGGCTTGATTTAAAGATAATCTGGTTAGCAAAACAGCTAGCATTATATGATGTGTATCCAGAGGGGTTGAAGGGATACTCCAATGTTTTAGCTCACAAGATTAAAGACCAAAGCAGCAGACACTGAGATATGTATTTGTTTCATAGCACGAGTCAAGCTCCAAAGGTCTTAAGCCACCTCTTAAAAAACAAAAAAAAAAGGTCTCTCCACAGCACCGCAGAAATAATTATACAACTGTTTTCACAGGCTGATTAGTACTCCTTCGGGAAAGTAAACTAAACTCGACATATACAGACATATGACTGACCCACAGAGAAGATCCACAAGATCCATAGCAAAATGAGTAATGGATGACTTGAAATTGCCCTTATTATTGTTCGAAATACGAAAAAAAAATGTAAACCAATACAGCAGTCATTAGCACTACGCACACGACCATCCATCTACCACAAGTCACACTGCCTACACAGCCACCACCAGACCTGACAGACACAGCTGCTCCTGTGGCAGGAGTAACCTCATTAACCTCAGTGGGCCGAAGTTACTACAGCTATCTGGCAAACCCTCAATAACTGGGCAGGGTAAAAAAAAGTTCAGTAGACAAGCTTAGTTCCAAATGGACATTAAATGTACACATACAGTACAACTAGTGAGATTATTTCTGCCTCCAGAGCAGCCTTGCCTGTGAGAATGAATGTGTAATATAACTGGAGTTGCAATATGCCAAAAGGTTTTGGTGTAATCATCTGTACCAGGTGGTGCTGCTGACTACACACTGGCCCCTGAGCCTTGAAGGCCCCAGCCTGCTGTGACTACTGGACTAACAGACACCAAACTACACTGCACCTACTGCACTGCAACCACTTCAACCCCATGCACACACACTCTCAGACATGCATGTTGTATTAATGAGTTAGCGGACGTCCTATTTACCTGAACCCACCAATAGAACACCGTTAACGGGGCTATGACTAGGAGGAACATTGGGGTGAGGGCAGAGCATATGAGCAGCACAGTCGAAGTGTACCAGAAAGTGCGCATCCATATGTCAATATTTTCAGGGATGTGGGTGTCTATAGCATCCACGTCTTTGCTGAAGCGGTTTAGTAACCGCCCAGTGGGGGTGCTCTCGAAGAAGCCCTGCGGAGCGCGCAGGACCCCCTGAAGCAGGTCGCAGTGTATGAGCTTGGCTGCCCGCAGCATACAGAAGCCCCGACCCAACAGGCAGTTAACCAACACGAACACACCTGAGAGAGGGGGGAGGGGAGGGGGAGGGGGTCAAATTTGACAATACAACAACACCTGAGTTAAATAGATTAGGACCTGTTCCTGATGTCTAATGACAATGTGTGCTCCAGCTAAACAAAAAACACTTCTTTAAAAAATGATTGTGTGCCAGCGCTGTTCCCTAAAAGTAGACGGAGGCGGAGGGGGGGGGGGTACAACAAACAAGTGGTACAACAAACCTTGGTATCAGTAAATGAACTTCTATCTCATTCAATAACTCTATATCTAATCAGTTGTGACTTCATATGGCCACAAACATCGAGTTTACTGTATCTCAAGAAGTGTGAATTTTATCTTTGACCTAAATGTTACACAAAAAACTGATTTTTCGATTAATCACTATTTTAAAGTAATGTTTATTATTCTCCATCTCTGCTGTTTTATTTTACTGTTGGCTTAGAATAAAACCTTAACCTCGAAACTAAGTCATTTTATATTTAGATATAAATATTAAGATACAGTTATAATGGGTAAAATGTATGGAATCCTCCATATTTATCCAGAGATACTCCTATACATTCACAGACTACCGTTAATTTAACCAACCAACTACCCTTTTGGTATTTCAAACAACTTCAGAAATGCTCCAATATTCCATGAATGCAAATCATTCGTGCACAAGTTTGCTACACATGGCACCTGCTAAAACCCTAAAACAAATGCAGACCACTGGCATTCAAAGAAAAGCCCCAAGTTGATCTAGTTGTATTTACAATGGTCCACCACTAGAGGGAGATTATAGATAAGGAAAGCCTGAGTAATAATATTTTTGGTTCCTAAAACAAAAAGGTACTTAAGTACATTGTGTGCATATTGGGGTTGGCCAGTGTTGCTCAACCTGTGTGTGCATGTCTGTTTGAGTGTGTGGAAGGGGTGTGGAAGCAGGCTCATCACGGACAACATCACAGGCTATGGAGAAGCTGAAACTGAAAGTGAATTAAGCTGCTGCTCCAACATGCATGCAGCATGCCATCCCAGGAAAAGGACAATAGCAAAGAAAAGAGGAAGAAAGAGGATCGATCATCCGGCACATGAGCAACATTTTCCCAAAGTACCTGGACAAAGACATATATGAAAGCCAGGGGGGCTATGACGACAGCAAAGATGGGTGTGCTGGAAATGATAACTATCAGGGTGGAGAGAGAAACGAAGAAGGTGCCCAGGAACATGAGCACGGTGGATGGGAGAGCCTCGTCTATGACGTAGATGTCCTTGGAGAAGCGGTTGATGATGCGTCCTAAAGGCGTGGTGTCATAGAAAGACTGGGGCGTGTGAAATTTGTTGGTGAGCAGGTTAAAGTGCAGCTTCCTTGCTGCGCCGATGTTCCCCATGGCTAGTGTGAAGGAAGAGAGCATGACCAGGAGACCTGTGACGGGGGTGGATCAGAGGAGTAGGAGTGGAGGAAAGATATGTTGGAGAGGAAGGTGTTAGTGTGTTACTAGCAGACACAGTCAGTCCATCAACAGTTTGCTGTAAAAGGAACAACGTTAAATCATTACACCACTCAAATGTTCTCTTGCTGAAACATCTCTCCAGTTGGTTTATTGTAGAAAAACTAGCTGTAAAGCAAGTACACAGTTTATTCAACAAAGTCTGCAACAAGAAACTGTGTGGGTGGAGCACCTTCAGGTAAAACAATATTTTAGCCCCATGGTGTGGCAGCACATACAACCTGAAAACACAATTTGAACCTCTGTGCAAAATTACAACAAAAAGGTATTATACAACATTAAATGCATAAACAAGAGCTGGACTTGAATTGACTTAATGCTAATTTTGAGTGATTCTTACCTTGTGCAATGCCCAGAGCTGCGTACACCCCCACCCTCAAGTGAATATTCTCCTGAGTCTGATTTGTTAAGGCGTCGTTGGTCCACTGGCTGAGCCAGATGTTGGCTCCGATGGCCGCCGCGCTCTGGCAGCCGTACAGGAAGCAGATGAACACCGACAGCAGGATGCCCACTGCCTTGGCGTACTCCAGGAACACCTTTGATTTCACCTGTCAGAGGGACAGAGGTCAGGCAAGGTCAGCGCACACAGCCTTCATGACAGAATTGAATTGAATTGGGAGGGATGAAACCCTCTTTAATGGTCACACATGCAGAGGTATAACCATTACAATCATATATTGATGTATATAATTAGGAGTCATATTTTTCTGTTGCATGTGTGTCTCTGCAGCTAAACTCGCTTGCTTTCTTTTGGTGAACATTTATGACAGTATGCTCAAACAACGTTTGTGGTTGTGGTGATTCACCAATTTTGAAAACCTTTGTTATTCACTGTCACTTATGGATGACTCAAACGGCCAGTAAGGGCGGCAAGTGAACATCAATCTCTTCAGTAGCAAAAAGTTAAAAACAAACTTTTGCTGTGTCTCAATTTGGACACTTCGTTTAATACACTGCATGCTGTACACTGTGAACACTTGTACAGTGTGTGCATTTCGAATTTGTAGTGTTGTCTTGAAGAGCTGGTAGGGACAATTTAGTGAGATTTAAGTCTTTAATGTACTCTCTTGAGTGACCTTGTCGTGGATCCGATGCAACACTCACAACCTTTGTTGTATTTTGTGATTTCTATTCATACATAAAATCATTTATAATACTCATAGTGTGGTATTGCAATAGGATAGGGCTGAAGAGGATCTCAGGATATGAGCTAATTTTAAAGTAAAAAAAAACAAAACAAGAGGCCTCAGATAAAAGCCCAAAAGGCTCACTGTACATCTGAGGATAAAAAATGAACAATTAAAGACTGACTCTGCCTGTTTCCGCGGTCTCTGCATGGATGAGTTTCTGCAGCTCTTTTGGTTTCTTCTTCTCTTGTTGCTCCCCATGTTTCTTCTGGCTGCAGTTGTGTCTCCTCACTGAGCGGCCCCTCAGGTTTTCTCCGTCTGCTGATATGATGCTGATCTGTCTGTAAAGGGAGAAAATATTATTTCCATGTATGGCATTTCATTAACTCCACTAGAAAAGCATTCCATAATATGTCTAAAATGATTAATTAAAGTTTTTATGAGAGAAAAGGCAAAGGAAGGAAACAATAGTATTTCTCTACCTTATAAAATTCCGCTTGGTTTCATTGACCACCGGCTCATTGTCCACCATGTCTGCGTGGTTGCTAAGGGCGTCGTCAGGGAACAGTTCCTCATCCTGAATTATCTCCTCTGCGAAGCAATGAAGCAGTATGTTATACAGCTCAAGCAGAAAATATGCAAAATGAGGTAAATAATATAAGGAAGTGATGGTCTACCAGCGGGCTCTTCCTCCTCCACGAAGTCCTCCATGGAGTAGTTCCTGAGGAACTCTGCGAAGGCCCCGTTCTGTTTGAGCAGCTCCTGGTAGGAGCCCATCTCTGACACCCGGCCCTCCACAATCACCATGATGTTATCCACCTGAGGCAGGAAGCTGATGCCGTGTGTCACCAGAATACGTGTCTGGAGTTAACAAGAAAAAAACCATTGTCATTTAATAAAACACATATATTACAAAACTACTAAATTCAAAGATAACATTTTATAAAATAGAGTAAGAAATTAGGTAAGAGTAGTGTAAAAATGTAATAAAATAAAATAAACTGATACAAATCTATTCAGTGTTGTAATGAAGATATGAATGATTAATGCTCCAAATGCTTTAATAAGTGTTTTAGTATTGCACAGTTGAGTAGCGCCAGCCTCAGTAATGTAGGCATTGCACAGTTTAAAATGGCGATTCTGGACTTTTTAAATCACAAACTAATGGAAAGATAAAAACCCGGATAAGGCTCTCCCACCTTGCCCTTCAGACACCCCTCTGGGCCGATGAGGTTGTCAAAGATGTGTTTGGCTACGTGTGCGTCCACAGCGGACAGCGGGTCGTCCAGCAGGTAGACGTCAGTGTCGCTGTACACAGCCCGGGCCAGACTCACCCTCTGCCGCTGCCCCCCCGACAGGTTGATGCCCTGCAGGACACAGACACGTCACTCATTAAGAAAACGCTTTATTTTTATTTTTACAGGAGTTACTCAATTATTATGTTTAAAAATGCAAATGGCGCATTGTCTTGAAAAAAAAAAAGCCTGCATCCCAGCTTTCCAGAGGTTTCCATATATTTTGTTACAAAAAGTGTTGGCAGCTTTAATTTACCAAATGTATTTGAAAATGGGGCTCATTAACAAATGAACACTGTGTAATATATTTGTACAATATAAGAAAAGCACAAGTTTCATGTTTGGGCCATATTCCATTATACTTTTTGAATTTGCTGCAGGCTAATAAAAAATTGACCACGGACCACAGTTGGCCACCAGGCCGTAGTTTGGACACCCCTGCTCTACATGCACCATAAACAGAAATACTTTAATAGAGAACTCAATTTTCGACAGGTTGTTAGGAATAAAATGTTCTATAAATCAGGTGAAACATTTGTAACCAATACATTAACTTAAAAATAATTACGTTTCTCTTTTCCAATGAATATGTTTAAATATGCAAACTAAAATGTGTGCTTATTTGCATATGGAATAGAAAACATTGGATTAGGCCAATGAGGAAATGTTTAATATCTCTCTATATCACTCCATAATCATAAAAAACTGTCATAAAAACCCATTTCCACCAGGTTTAACAAAATAAAATGTTCTATAAATCAGTTAACAATGAAAAATAAAACACCTAAATGTGTGTTCTGGATACTTCACACTAGTCAGACGGAGACTTGTTATGGAAGTCTCCCTCTTCTTTCACCATTGCATGACAAATCAATTTCAGAAGGTTTTTCTCTTTAATGTCGGAAACATCAGAAACCATGACCAAAGCTCACACCAGAAAACAGGAACAAAGAGTGTTTTTTTAGTAAGAGAATGGAAACTGAAAGTGTTTTTTAGTAAGAAAATGGAAAATGAAAGTGTTTTTCAGTAAAAGAATGGAAAGCGAAGTGTTTTACTCTTTGTACCTTCTCTCCTATCTCGGTCATATCCCCTCCAGGAAGCACTTCCAGGTCAGGAGTTAAGGCACAGGCTTCCAGAACGCAGCGGTACTTTTGCTCATTGTAGTCTTTCCCGAACAGGATGTTGTCCCGCAGCGTGGCGTTCTGGATCCAGGCCTGCTGCGGGACGTATGCTACTGAGCCCTGAGGAGAGGAGAGCCCACACACTGGTAGTTAGTAACCTTTAACAAGTCTTTTGTCCCAAGAATAAACAGTATCTAAAGTATATCCTATGCTCACCTTTTAATGTACTGACTCAAGACACGTATTACCATCTATTTCAATTCCTCACTTAGTAACCACAAGCCCTTAAGCTCAATCAATAACACAATAAGCTTTTGGGAATTTATCTGAAACAAAAATTTAAAACAACAAGCAAAGCTTTTCCTCCCTGCTTCCAGTATTTACGCTAAGCTAATCGCTGCTGGTTAAAGTTTCATATGAAGTAGGCAGACAGAGTAGTGTCAATTTCTAATCAAAGTCTCCACAAGAGGGCAAATTCCCAAAATGTAATATTAATATAATCAGTGTTTCTACTACCATAACTAGGGGAAACACTTATTATGATCCACTGAAAGACACAGTAACGGAAATGAGTAAGTCATTGTATTAGAACAGGTGTTTAATAATAAGTAAGCCTCTCAAAGAGATTAGTTTTAGTTTGTTTTGTTCATAACATTTGCAATGACTTGTGAACCCTTTGAACCACTTGTATGGTTAGTTGTGCAAACAGAGCTATATTAATAAAGTGTGACTGATTGATTCCCCTCTTTATTCCATCTTTTGTGATAAGTGTACACCTGGTGCCAATGAATAACAGAGCGGGTCACTCTCACATAACGTGTGGAATAAAACGTTACTTAAAGTGCTTATCATGCTATATTTGAAAAATATATTGTAGGGCCATACCTATATAAAACATGTCTGTGAAGTTTTTTTTTCAAAATACCAAACAGATCATGCATTTTAGCCATGCCTCATTTCGCTCTATTTGCTCTTTTCCAGCCCTGTTTTTGCAGGGGCTGATTCTGTGACGTAGCTTTAATGCAAATGAGCTGCAGCTGACCACGTCCCCCTGCAGGAGAGGGGGGCGTGCTCAGAGATCAGCTGCTGGGCTCTCAGAAGAGGGGGAGGAAAAGAGAGGCTCCGTCCTCCGTGTATTATTCTTATAATATTATATAGAGTCGTTATTCATTTGTTTTAAAGCTCAATAAATAACAAAGAAGACCTTTGACCGGCACTTTTCTAATTTTGTCCGGAAGATTTTAACTTTAACGGAGATGTTGACCGGCGAAAAAAAATCTAACTGAAACTCTGCCGCACGGTCCCCTCGTCCCTTGGAAGAGGCGGAGAGGTGGGTGTTTGTCATCTGCTGGTGGACTAACCGGAGAGAATTACAGTGCTTGCCTCGGGGAGGGAGAAAAGGAGCCAGAGCGCCCACAGCGGAGAATAAACAGAAGGGTAACCATGGCAACCATGCGCGGGAAGTCTTCTTCGCTGCTTTTGTGGCAGACTACAGCGCCACTTACAGGCCTGGCATATGTACTACAGCATCTCCAGCGCTTTCGAGCGGCAATGGCCGTGGCCGTGACCCAACCCCCCATTCCCCTGATAGGTGGAGAGTTGCCCATATAGGCGGAGCACCCCTTTTCTGACGTCTGTATCAGCTCCGTTGCAGCCCTGTTTTTAGAGATTTGGGTATGGAGGAAAAGAGAGAGGGTTGTGTTTTCTGACACTTGGTGAGTTCCCTGACACACCGGGGACACATATTCATGTACAAAAGACGTACAAAAGTGCATTTTGCATGATAGGTCCCCTTTAATAAAAAAAAAAAGGTATTATGAAATTCACCAACAACAAGTTGGTGTGAATAAACAAAGAGTTGAAAAATGCTAAAATGCTCAGTTGAGTGAGGTGATAATTCTATATTGGGTCATCACTGTTAAATTACACAACAGTAGATTGGATAAAATATACTTTGATCATCCCAAATTGAGATTTGTTTAGCATGTTAACCAGCAGCGATTAGCTTAGCTTAAATTCTGGAAGCAGGGAGGAAAAGCCTTGCTTGTTGTTTTTCATTTTTGGTTCAGATAAATCCCCAAAAGCTTATTGTGTTATTTATTGAGCCTAAGGGCTTGTGGATACTTTTGAAAGTGAGGAATTGAAATATATGTTAATACGTGTCTTGAGTCAGTACCTTAAAAGGTTAGTATATATATATATATATTATTAGAGTATCTAAAGAATAGCCAATATAAAATGATCAGAAAAAATACAGAATGGTCTATTGTTAACATAAAAACGAATTAGTGCAGCTTTAGGGAAGGAAATAAAGAAAGAAAAATAAGCTTGTTTTGTTTTTTTAGAAGGTGTACTTAAGTCTTACCCGGATTGAGACCTCTCCCTCCAGTTTCTCCACCTCCCCCAGTAGCGAAGAGAGCAGGGAGGACTTCCCACAGCCGACGTGGCCCACCACCGCCAGCAGGGAGCCCTGAGGCACCATCACGTTAATGCTGCAAACACACAGAACATTCACAGGAGTTAGTCACAGTTATGACAACACAGAAATATGACAAAAATGTGGAGGAGATTCAAGACATACTTGTGCAGGACAGGAGGGTCGTCTTTAGCCCAGCTGAATTTCCCATTGACAACTGTCACTGCAAAGTCTGTGGAAACATCTTTGTCAATATCTTTTGAAATTGATGTCAGCTTGATTTATTCAGGCAGGGCCAGTGACGAAGAAGTACTCACATCCTTTACAAGTTAAAAGTACAAATATTATGATACTAAAATACTCCACAACAAGTAAAATTCCTGATTTCAAAATTTGAGTTAAGTTAAAGAAGAAAAATGTTAGCATTTGAATATAGTTTAAGAAAACTAAAAAGTACTCATTCTGCACAATAGGCGCGTTCACACCAAGTACTTTGCCGTATTTAGTGCCGGCACTCAGTGCCCCGGCACTTATTACCCCAGGGCATTTAGTACAGATCGCGTTCACACCGGAGTACTTTTCCCTGAGGGAAGATTACGCAGCCGCTGACGTCACTTCTTCTTCTTCTGCTTTGGGTTTACTGGCAGGCCGCAAACAACTTCACGGCGTATACTGCCACCCGGAGTCCCCGGCAGGAAGTCCCCGGAGTTGGGGACTAGCTTCAGTAGAAGCTGCTGGGACTCCCAACAGCTTCTACTGAAGCCTTCCGAGTAAATCGCCAGAACGCCGACACCTCCTCATCTCCACCGCTCCCATGTTTTATTTGGGTTGCCATAAGTTAGTCTCTCTGCGTTTGTGCGCTGGGCGAATGCTAATGCTAATAATGCTAATGCCAGGATAATAAAATGGCGGCTCTACAAAACATTTCAGAGTTGTACGGGGCGTGGTTTGCAATTCGCCCAGCCAATCAGAACTGGGGCACTTTTATTCCCCCAGGAAAGTACCATCTCTCAGCAGGCACTAAAAATGGGGGTAAAAGTTCCCGAGATTAAGTGCTCTTTTTGGTGTGAACGCGACATAAGGGGTGCTAACGGAACTAAACGCGAAAAGTACGGTGAAAAGTACTCCGGTGTGAACGCGGCTAATGTCACATTTCAGAATAAAATGAGGTAAACAGGTATTATCAGCTAAATGTACTTGAAGTATCAAAAGCACCCACTATGCAGAATGGATCTTTCACAGTATTCTATTATTATCATATTTGTAATATCGTGTTTTTATACATGTAAGAGCATTTTAGTATTGTAGTTTGTCAGTGCAGACCAAATGTAGATACTTGAAATACTGTGTAGATTAGTACTGCATTATTATGCTCATTTTCAGGTTCATATTCTCTGACAAGATACAGCGGAGGATATTTGCTGGCTCAGTTTGATCCCGTGCCCGTGAGACTGTGAGACATAAACACACCAGATTTGTCTTATTGCCTCTGATGAAATAGAGCCGATTTTGGTTTATGGGGAAAAAAGTATTGTTTTTGCTTTTTTTTGAGGTATTGTAAATTCAGATAATTTATCAGTGTTTGGAAATTGGAAACCTCTTCTGTCAAATCTTGAAGAGCAAGATGGTCTACTGGGAAATGTACAATATTAATGTTTAACATTGTGTATATTTAAACTGAGTATACAGCAGCTGGTCTAATCAAAACAATATGATTAGCTACATCTGCCATGTTTTATTTACAGTCATTTACACCCCCACACCCAAACACCCACAAACTCTATTTGAAATGAGCTTGCATGAAGTTGGGTGAAGTTCACAGCTGGTGACTCCCAACTCCAGATGAAGGTGTTAATGGGCTCACCTCAGCATTTTTATTAACAATGATGATGAAGATTATTTGTACCGCTGCTTTAAAGAGGACATATTTTCAGGTTCATATTTGTATTTTGTGACTCTGACATGTCTCCATGCTTTAATGTTCAAAAAGCTCTTTACTTTTCTCATACTGCCTGTGCTGCAGCACCTCTTTTCATCCTCTGTTTGAAACCAGAGCCCAGTCTGCTCTGATTGGTTAGCTGGTCGGGACTGATGTGATGGGCAACCACTTAGAGATGTCCCGCCCCTTAGCCTATCATGTACAATGTGTCGGAGCGCTAGCCAATAGAAGCGCGAGTGTTAAATAGTGACTTTATGGTGTCGCGGAAGTAAAAAAAAGGAGTCCAATGGACGTGTTTCAGACGGGGGAGGACTTTGGGATTTTAACCCTTGCAGACCAATTCACCAAAATCTAGATAACACACTAAAGGAAAGAGAAAAACCACTTTAAATCATATTAGCATTTCAGGTGTTTGTAGATGTACAAAGTAACTGAGTATAATATAATAAATGTAGTGGAGTCAAAATAAGAATATTTGTCTCTGAAATGTAGAGAAGTAGATCTATAAATGTAAGTACTCAAGTAAAGTACAAAACTTGAGTAAATGTACTTAGTTACTTTCCACCCGTTGGAAGTACAAATGGCATTTTTTAAGTGTTAGTCATCCAAAAGCTCTTCAAGCTCACTGTGTGAAAGGGATGCGTGGGAAGCAGTGTCTTTGAGAAACTCCTTGATTCTTAAGACGCTATTGAGTTCAGACAAGAGATTCAAAATGATGACAAATAATGACAAGCCACATTTTCTAAAGGTCTTCTGTCAGTTAAAAGCATGCGCAATGACATCAGATGTGCAAACATAATCAAAGTATGGCAAGGAAGGGAAAACAGAACCCACATGTTGATTTAAGGTCTGTGAAAGGAGTAGGAGTGTTTAATCACCTGCGGCTGTGTTCTTCCTGTCGACTGAATTTGGGTCCAGCTCTTCATGACTCAGGAAAGATTCTATTCGCTTCAGTGAGACGCTGGCCTGCATGATAAACACACACAAAATGAAATCACACACACAAAAAAGATAGGTAAACACAATTAATAGAAAAAAGGAAAACAGTTCCCACCTGCACCATGCTGCTGATGACTTGGGGAAGCATGTTGAGAGGAAACCGGAGGATGTTGAAGAGCGAGAGCGACACGAAGGCCTTCTCTGCGTCGAGGATGTTGTTCTCGTCAATAGACACGTACACGGCAAACGTTGTCAAAGCAACCTGCAAAGCACATGGGCAAACAGACCCATCATTTACTGTAGCAGTCAGTGCTGTGATGCTACACACACTCACACGTTAATCTCATTAAACCGGTGACTCAGCAATGACCTCACTATCAACAGCTGCAGATATTCACAACATCTCAGATTCAGTTTATAAAGACTGATACACACTGGCTGTGTGTTTATGGGAGCAGTGGCATGGCAACTTGTTTCATATAATCGTGAGGATTTGGTTTGGTAAGCAGGCAATCAGCTGGTGAAAAGTGGTGCGTAATGTTGCTATGGCGTGTGCACTGGAGTGTGTGCAGCCTCTGTGCAGTCAATGATTCCCGAGACGCCTCTGGTGTAGGGTGGTGTATCAGTCGTAAGATTATTCAACCATCCTTGCTGCTCATGTTGTGTTAATGTTACTAGGAGTTCAAGATGTTAAAATGTAACATGGCAACGGTTCCACCACAAGTATTCTGCATTTAGTCTCCCATGTAACCGTAGCCAGCTAATGCAATTTTGTAAATTCTGATTTAAACACAAAATATGTGATTTCCTGCCACTAGGGGTCTCTATCAAAACAATAACAACATATTATAAAGGACTTTAATGGCATCATGGGAGTTGTTGCCTCCATCACCATTGTTTTGCTGTTAAAGCATCTTCTTTATCAACTGTAATTATTCAGGTTTCTTTTCAAAAAATACATTTTAGTATGCGAAACCTAAGTAAATGTTAGCTGACTCTTTTAGCAAAGTTATCTAGCCACCTCCTGTTGATTTGATCAAAGATTTGTTGTGATGTTATGTAGCATTATCAGGAAAAAAGCAAGGCGGGTCGCAGTTTATAAGCACCATTTGTTTTTTATCTTCCCCATTGCTCCGTTGCCAAACAAACACAAACATAGTGCGTTTGGCTTAACGTCACTATGCATGTGCAACAATCAGAAGTCACAGGTACGCTTTAACAAGGAATCTGATAAAAAGGAAACAACAGAATTCTGCTCCTTATGCTTAATTCATGAACATTAAGATTCAAAAAGCAGTTTAAAAGACAGCCAGCCTCCAGAAATGTGAGCAGAGCCTACCAGGAAGGGGGCGCTGGTCCAGGCCATGGTGGACAGCGCTCCCAGGTAGGCAGTCTTCCGCAGCACGTCAAGCTCCTTCTGACGGATGTCCAGGACCTTCTTTTTGAAGGAGTTCTCCCAGGCGTACAGCTTCAGCACTTTGATGCCGTTCAGGATCTCGTTCATCAGCTTGATACGAGCGTCCTTGTACTGCATCTGCTCCACCTGGGAGAGAGGAAGAGGAGGGGGAAGACGAGAACGATGACACAAAACTACTTTAGACTACAGATTACTTTAAACTGTTTCTGATTTCTGGATTGTAATTTTATTCATTTACTCTAGCTTTATCAGTATGCCATTCCGTCATGTATGTCGTTTAACCATTTAATTTCTTAAAATGCAAATTAAAAAAAAATTAAAAAACAATTAAAGTAGCTCTTGGTATATACTAGAGTTTTTATTCATTTCGAATGCACATTTTTTGTGCAAATTAATCAAGTAATTTGTTAATATCACTGATTTGCTGGTTCTTAAGTCAAAAGACAACAATTACATTTTTTGCCAAATACTATTTCCGCTCATACCTGGTAGGCTCGTGTCTTCATGGCAATGACAGCATTTAACGGGATCAGCATGATCATCACAGCAACCCCCGCCAGCACGGAGGGACCCAGGTTCTGAAAAAACAACAGCGTCAATAAATTACTGCAAACATAATTAAAAAACAATATAACAGTAAGAGGCTCTTTAGCACATCTTTATATCATTTGGACAATTGAGAGGTTGTTGATTTTGCCGCAGAAAGATGTCACGTTATTTAAAAGTCAGCTGTGGACAACCAACATTTGTTTTTCATCCATCAGGAAACACCATGGAATACAAGTAAAGAAAAGATAGACGAGGAAAGAGGTTAAAAGACAGAGCGCTGATTGTCAGAGAAATCAACAGAAGAAGACAGACAGGAAGTAAACAGTAACGGGAACAGCAGAATGAGACAAACAGGAAGTAAACACTGACAGAAGTTAAGGGAAAGGAAAATGTAAACAGTTCATGGTAATGCAAGATCACCATGTCAGTGTTCTTTTATTTACTAATGACACAGTGTTATATCAAGTCTGTAGTGGAACTAAACAAGATGAATCCTGCATGCGAATTACATTCCGTGAGGAGGTCATTTTATGTATAAAAATGATAAATAGTATATATTTATCATTTATTTCAATAATCTAGTACTATGAATTTTTTTGTTTAGAGTACCAGAAAATGTTGTTAAATAGAATTAAGATGTTGTGCTTAAGTATTCATTACAAAATCAAAATCAAACTATATTGTTGAAAGGGTTGGCCGTTTGGCAGTATTAATACCTTTATTCGTCTCACAGAGGGGACATTTACATTGTTACAGCAAAAGTGAAGATGGGGACAAAAAATGTACCTAATGCACACAAGTGTCATTACATAACATTGGAGTCGTAGTCTTGTTTGTTACATTATTGCACGTTGGTGTGATTACACAACAGTGGTATCTTAAGGCGCGTTCACACCGGAGTACTTTTCCCCGTACTTTTCCCGTTTAGTTCCGTTAGTACCTCTTATTTTGCGTTCACAAAGTACTTAGTGCCGGGAACTTTTACCCCCATTTTTAGTGCCTGCTAGAGAGGTGGTACTATCCTGGGGAGAAAAAAGTACCAATTTCTATTGGCTGGGCGAATTGCAAACCATGCCCCGTAAAACTCGTTTTGTGAAGCCGCCATTGTATTTGCTGGCATTAGCATTATTAGCATAAGCATTAGCCCCGCACACCAATGGAGAGAGAATAACTTATGGCAACACAAAAAAAAACATGGGAGCGGTGGAGTGATGAAGAGAGGAGGTGTCAGCGTTCTTGCGATTTACTCGGAAGGCTTCAGTAGAAGCTGCTGGGAGTCCCAGCAGCTTCTACTGAAGCCAGTCCCCAACTCTGGGGACTTCCAGCCGGGGACTTCGGGTGGCAGTATACGCGAAGTTGTTTGCAGCCTGCCAGTAAACCCAAAGCAGAAGAAGAAGAAGTGACGTCAGCGGCTTCATTTACGTAATCTTCCCTCAGGGAACTTATTCCGGTGTGAACGCGATCTGTACTTAGTGCCCTGGGGGTAATAAGTGCCGACACTAAGTACAGCAAAGTACTTGGTGTGAAAGCGGCTTAAGTCTGTGTTGTAGTGTGAGTGTGGGGGTCCACCAGGGGCCATGATGGTTGTAAAGTCTGACCGCTGCAGGAAGAAAGGACCTGCGGTCTCTCTCTGAGAGACACCGCAGGTCGGAGGAGGAGTGGGAGGGCCATGTGCAGGCAGATGGGACAACGGGTGCAGCAGGGGGGAATGGGCAGGGGGAGGGGCGCCTGACTGATCAGATCTATTAAAGAAATGATTCAGGTTGTTTGCCCACTGACGGTCCCCCTGGGCATGGGAGTCTAGCTCTTTGTAGCCAGAGATTTTCAGGCCTCTCCAGACTCTGACATTCCTCTGCTGCAGCTGTTCCTCTTCCTGCCGCTCTTCTTCCCCTCTCTGATCCTCCTCAGCTCCTCTCTGTTGCCTGATATAAAGGCCCTCTTTGTGTCCCTTAGTAGTAGTAGAGTAGAGCCTTTATTTCAGGGATAATCCATGGTTTGTTGTTTGGAAAACACCGTACAGCCCTGGTAGGTACAATGTTTTTCACTGTATCTTTACGTATTAGTACATTGGGTCTTTATAAAAGGTTTAACTTTATTGGAACATTAGTCAGAACTGAGATGTTTATATTCATAATTATTAGTTTTTATAACTTGCTGCTCTTCTTTAGATAGACCATTCAACTTAATACATCTGTAAATAACTGTGCAATATATATACTTCCACCTGTAATACTATCACCTGGCTGCTATCTCTTAACTGTAATTGGTACTGGATGTGAGTTTTGTAAATTGTAAATTGTGTAGTTCCTACTTCTATCTTTAATATTTTATGCATGCTTCTTAATTAATATTAAGCTATCTTTGGCTCTTTACTTGTAACAATGTAAATGTCCCCTCTGTGGGACGAATACAGTTATTCTGATCTCAATGGTATACATCCGTGTAATCACTAAGTGGCCTAGGAACTAAAAGCATGGTAAAACATTCACTACTAGAGAGAAAGCAAAAGTCCACTGTGTCCCATAAAGAAAGGTTCATGCAAAAGAATATGGAGGGAAATGTCTAGCATAGCTATCAAATGCATAGTTTGTGCACATACCTGCCAGAGGAAATAAAGGGCCAGCATAATCTGAAGAGGAGCAGACCACAGCATGTTGAGGAAGGTGGTGAGGTCCATGAACCTCTGTGCGTCCACCGACATCAGGTTGACCACCTCTCCCACCGTGGAGGAGCGCTTGGCGGCGTTAGTTATCACCAGCGACTGCAGATCAATAATAGGGGGAGAAGGGAAGTTTTGAGGGCTGTTTAAGAGTTGTTGCATTTGTTTTTGGTAAAACCCCAGAAAATGAAACGTGAACATTTCTGCATACCTTCCTGTAGATGGCTCCTATGACAGCTGTGCGTACATTCATGCCAGTGACGAAACAGTACTGAAAGTGACGGTGGAGGATGAGCGTCTGCAAGAAGGCCGTGAAGAACATGAGGAAGGCCAGCGAGTAACCCCACCAATCAGGAGCACCCTTCTGTTTGGTGAACGAGATCAGCATTCTGAAAGAGCGAGAAGGAGGGACATTCTTTTAGATAAAACACAAAAAACAATACATATCTGGAATGAGCTGTGCTGATAATGGCACATAGTTTGCTTCTTATGTAACCCCTCTGTTCTGTCCTCATGGTCTTTAAATAGACACGTCTTCTTACGTGCAAAATGTCAACATGAGATAGCATGAACAAACCATCTATTGGTTGGTTTATATGTTGGTAGCATGCAACAGTAAATAAAACTGTTCTTACAACCAGGTGTTGAATTCAGATTTTTTTTGTGGTGTGTCGAAAGGGGGAGGGGGGGCTCTGTGGTCAGGTGGTTAATATGAAAAAGCTAATTTCATTTCATTAATTTATAGCTACAAAAATATCATCTGTATCAAACTGCAACGTTTGTTAGAGATTATAACTTTGGTTTGCAAGATACCAAGGTAAGCAAAGTCCTTCTATTAATACATTTGATTGGAAACAAAAAAAGTAAGCTTTAAAAACTCCCTTATATGTCCACATTTAGTAATTCTTCACATGTTGACCAGACCATGGAGACAAATCAGTATTATTTTCATTCTTTAAGTTGGTAATTGCAGGTTGCTGAAGCTTCATTAAAAAATGCATTAAAATGGTTCTGTTCATGTGTTGGTTTCTTCTGTGTCAAATAAGATTCAATTATGGAGGTGAAACACATGGCTGGAATACATTTTATAAAAGCAGGAGAGCAAATCATGAACTCTCAGAAGAATTACAACAGGAGTCCCATGTCATTCCAGAAAAGTCCGGTCTGCAGCACTAGCCTAGTAACATTACCCCGGTATGATATCAAAATAACTTATGTAAAGAAAAGCATCTGACACACATCTATAGTCAAAACATAACCGTAACAAAATGCGTACAGGGAAATGATGTGGTTGTATAAACTGATCTATATCTTCTTTTTATGTAAAGTTCTAGCTTTCACAGGACAGATGCTCTCACAAAATGTCCATCCTAGTCTATTATAAGATAAATAACCATACAATATTTACATAAGGGCTACCATACCTTAGGAATAAACAAACCAGGATGCAAAAACATAAACATGTCATTCAAAGATCTACCCTGAACATAGTATTTGGGAACAATGGTAGCCTGTTGGTGTTCCAGATTTGCAAATATGGTGTGTTAAGGACGTTTTTCCTACCGGAGCAGCTGAGGGTTGACGAAGGTGACCACATCCTGCAGTAACTTGAAGGCAGACCCAATCAGGAAGTAGGGTCCGAAGGCTTTGATGAGGGCCCGCAGGAAGGAGGGCTGTCTGGGAGCCTTCTTATTGGACAGGAGCACCTCTACTTCCTCCGGGCTGCTTCCTCCTCCCGCTCCGGTGTGGTTAGTGGTGGATGGCGGGGGCTTGGAGTACACCGCCTGACTGGACAGGTTCTGATCACTGGAGAATATGGAATTTTGGAGAGTGTTTCAGAATGATAATCTGCTTCATTGGCTAAGTAAAAAAAGGCCTTTATGTGTCAAATGAAACAGTGTTGACACAACAAGTAAGACGATATATAATAGCAATAATATTAAAACAGCACACAACATCATTGTAAGGCCTTTCAAAGACTCTTAAGAAGAATATTAAAACCAATTATGCATTTAACTGGCAAATGTTGAGGTGAAATTAGGGCTAGGGACATTTGACTCATGGTTAGATTTGCCACGGAAATGTCTGTTTACATATAGGACATGTTGTGCATATCCCAGAATCCTCCAACAATGCACATTGTGAGTGTACATAAAGAGGCCCAATCATGCTTTTGGGGGGGTTTTCCCTTTCCTGTAGTGTGTTATATAATGTAGCTTTTTGTGCATATAAATGGTCTGCAGTGGATACAATTCCAAAGTTCTCAGTATGAGAAAAATAAATACCTATCTGAAAATTAAGTAAACATTGTACAGAAGAGGCACAAAATACAAATATTAACCCTAAAATAAGCTTAAGTGATTCGATATAAGGGAAAGGAACAGATACGTTTAATCTGCCTTAGAAATAAATATACAACTTACTCAAAGCTGATGATGATATGTCTTGCATTAGCAGTAATTCACCGTCAGGAAGTGGTTAAATAATAAACCCATTTAAAATGTGAATAAATTACACTGCAATAACATCTGTTTTTATTATTGATTAATGTTTAACTGTTTTAGCTCCTAAGAATTACACATTCCATATTTTATTGGTATGATGATTTTCTTTGGAAAAACACTGGATTATTGCAACAGCGAGTAGTAAGATTAGCTGTAATACAAACAAAGGTGCATTTCTCATCTTGAGAAATGTGCAGAAAGCTCAGGCAGTGAGACATTCTGAAAGGAATGTTTTTGTAAACTACACAAAATCTATTCTAATACCAGCTTAGAGCGCAGGAGTCAGATTGCAGCAGCGAACCAATAGACGACTACAGTTCAACAGGTTAACTGTGAAGGGATTCAGCTCAATACCAAACGGGTTTCCAGATGACGAGTAAAAAAGGCTGAATCAAGCTTTTCCATATCAGTTTACAGGTTGTTCTCAGTGAGAAAGCACAAAGGAACTACGACAGGAAAACCAGAGCATGAGAGGAGAAGCAGCCTGGAGGAGGTCAGAGTTCATCAGACTTGTTGAGTGTGCACAGAATTGAACACTGGAGCAGCACAATGTTGTAGGACTGCAGTTTTCTTGATTAGTCGTGTTGTGTTTAAAATGTGAAAGTCTAAGATGACGTCTTTAAATATCTTATTTCACCAGTTGAAACCCATTTTTTTTTAGTTTCATATGATATGCAACTGAGATTTTTGCATTAAAGGTCCCATGACATGCTTTTCCGGTTATTACCCGTCCCCTCGTGTGTTATGTAGCTTTTTATTCATGTGAACCAGTGACCATCAACTGGTGGCCCGTGGGCCACATCCGGCCCGCCAAACATTCTCATCCGGCCCGCACGACGGGGGTGACTGTGGCATTGGTGGAGTGGTTAGTGCGTTCGCCCCCCACTAATTTTATTTTACAACGTCTCGTGAGTAATGTGCAGTACCGGAGTCCAACAGAGAGGCAGCAGCTGCGGGACAGTAGACTGCGTGCTACGTAGCCTTCCCTGCCTGAAGAAGAAGTGTTCCTTCGTTATGAAGAGACTGCTTTATGCGCTCCGCAGCAGTAGCCAGAGAGGCAGCAGCTGCGGGACAGTAGCCTAGAAGTGATCCATCGTTAGCGTGAAGAGTACCTGAGCGTGCTCCACTAGCACACCTCTAAGCTCCGAAAACCGGTGCTTTTCAAGCACCAAAAGATTGTCGGTCTAGAAGCAAGAACCGCATACGTCACGCTTACGTCGGAGGCGGGGGCAGGGGCGGGATCAACCTCCTGAACAACAACAAAAAGCCCGCGTTTTATCCAGTTTGTACACAAAGCAAACAGAGCAAAACCGAAACGAGTAGCGCTTCAATACAATCGGCCATTGTTGTTGATGTGAGGGTTGGTGCGCTGGGCTAATGCTAATGCTAATAATGCTAATGAAAGCAAATACAATGGCGGCTTCACAAAACTTTTCTGAGTTTTACGGGGCGTGGTTTGCAATTCGCCCAGCAATTGGAACCTTTTCCTCCCCAGGAAAGTACCACCTCTCTAGCAGGAAAATAACTAAGTTCTAGTTCCAGATCTTTTTACAAAACGCAAAATCCCAGGAACTATCGGAACTATTCCTATTGTAACACATAATCACTGATGTTCCGCTGTAATGGTGGTGGACTCATCATCAGTAGAAATTGCCATGTCATGGGACCTTTAAACATTTCCCTAACTATTAATCGTTTTTCAAAAATATTTGCAGATTATTTTTCCTATTGATGCATTAATCGATGTAGAGCTGAAGTCCTGTTATCATGACTAAGCAACTCACTTGGTTCTCAAGTATGTAACTAAACAGGCTTATAATGTGGAATGAAATATTACCCATACTAGAACAATTATTTGTTCTGCAGCATGTTTTACAGAGATGGGAGACAGATTAAATATAGCATAGAAAACTATTTTAATCAGATGGAAAAAAAGAACTAAAATATCCATCAACCATAAGCTCAATAATTAAACAGATCATGCAAACCTGGAACCGCTTTCTTCAACCTTAAAGACAAAATAATCCCTTTTAATAAAACCTGGTCTCCTTTTCCTCTTAACACCAGCTGAGCCAGACTATCCCCAAAATATTGTAACAATGTAAAATGATAAAATAGCACAAAACACTTTGCTCTTCTTGACTCTTTTCTTTCCTTTTTGTCTTTTTGAATTCATGTGTTTGGTTTTTTCTTTTCTTATGTGTAAGTACTACTTGTTTGTTGTGAATACTTTTGTTTTGTAAATACTTTTGTTATCAACTCCACTGTGAAAATTATTTTTTTAAAGAGACAGTGGTATTGGTTTCATAAATGAGATGTAGCTATGTTATTGTTAGAGTTTCAATTACATTCTCATGGTTTCACTTGTGCAAAAAAGGGTGAACATATTGTACAACAGCACTTTTTAAACTTTTCACACAGGAAACCACATTATTGAAGTTACATTTAGGATGTTTATATACACTCAAGTAACCTAGTTGGTGTCTGATTCCTACATTAAAACAAAATACCATGTAACACAAGTGAATAATCCTGGAGAAACCAGATATTTTGTGTATCTATGTCTTAACCTGTTAAGCCCTGAGCCTGTTTTTCAGGTCTCAGGCTCGAAAATGACATTCCCAGAACAAATGACCATATCTTCCCTTCTAAAAGGGTTGAATTAATAATCTTTTTTCTCAAAGTAATAATAAACCTGTGAGTTGGATGTAGAAAAGTCAGAATCAATATAGATGTTTTTTATTTTAAAGAAAATTCAGATTTTACATAGTAAAAAACTGTAAATTATAGTGTCCGTTCAAAAATTATTTTGTACTTATAGTGAAAACTACCCTTGGATGATGGGTTAGTAGACTAAAAGCTTTAAGAATCCAAAGTACAACATATAATAAGTACCCTGTATCAAGATTGATGCAAAACAAGTGACATTTGACCTTTTTAGAGAGATTTAGCAAAAAGAAACCACTTCTGGGGTCATTTGGGTGGATTTTCCATATCTCTGGCCCCCCTTGGTCGATTTTGATGGTTGACACCTCTTTCTGACCGTTAGAGCCAATAGAATCGAAGGGGGAGTCCCCCACACACACTCATTGTGAAACGAAAAGGTGGGGGCTTCGCGCATGTAATTTAGCATCAGAGCGAACCTATCTCTAGCTTTGACATCTGGAAACGGAAAAGCAGTTTTAATGCTTATGGATTATCAGAAATAATTTCAAAGGGACACAGACACATTGGATTAACCTATGGATTAACTTCAGCAGCGTTTTTATCGTTTTAATGCTATTGAAGACCACTTTGGAGAGACTACAGAGCCAAGGTAAAAATGTTAGCATTTTTAGCTACCTAGCGTCACCTGTTTTGATGTCCGTTTTTGCTTATAACGTCGCCATTTCGTATAATTCAGTGATAATGTGGGTGTCCAACGATTCTGTGTCACCTCACGATGTGAAACGATGTCATGGATGTAGAGAAGAGATCGATAATAAGGTTTTGTGAGTGATTTTCGGTGCAGTAAGGTGTTAGCATTTTTCGCTCGTTGCTAATTCAGAGGCTCAGTGTTAGCATTGTGGGTTTTATTTAAACCCGGTACCGGGGTCTCTCGGGCTTAACAGGTTAAAGAATTCTATATTCCTTATTTTTGTAAAACAAAATGTACCCTATATAAAAGTGTGTGTATCGAAGACTAATACAACATATTCCTCTGTGCTATAGACCTCAAAATGACAGCTGTAAACCACACTGTTTCCTTGTTACCATGAGAAAAACTCATCAAATGTACTATTTCCTCCTGTTACGGGAGTTACTGTTTTAGGTATCACCTTTTTAATCAAACTATGAAATCTGTTTTATCTGTTTTTTAAATATTTATATTTCAAGTAGAAACAAATGACCATAGAAAGTGAAAGTATGTTATGGCAGGAATGCAGAGAGATGAAAGGAAACATAGCTGTGTCCAAGATAGTTAAATACAACTAAAACTGAAATAAATAAATTTCATTTTTTGAAAACCAAATGACAGCTCTCGAAGGTCATGACTTACAATTGGACAGCCTTGGTTAAAAGAAATGTGAATGGATAAATGTGATTATTGCGTCACATTGTATTTTTAAACTAGGCAGATCTTTCTTCTTAAACCTGATCTCTCTCTTTAGACTACTGTCTCTTTGGCATTAAACATATTGTATGTTCAATACACTGACAGTAAAGTAAGCTGTTTTTATCAAATATTAACTTCTTCTTCTCTTCCCTTTTAAAACATACCTCTTGGCTTTCGTCAGCTCCTGCTCCCACTGGTTGAGGAGTTTGGGCACCGTCACCTTGGAGCTGTCGCGCTGGTTCAGAGACCACAGGTCTTTGGTCTCGAGAGGCATTTTGTAGCCCTTTATAGCCATACTAGAGAGAGAGAGACGGAGAGAGCCATGTTAGCAAAGTACAGACTGAGCATTCACAACATGGTAATAGGAACAGGCAGGTATAAGAAAACATGGCTGCCAAAAAAGGAGCAGCTCTGCCATCAGTGTGGCAGAACTGCTGTGGAGACAGACCAGCACTACCTTACACAATGCCCAAAATGTAAACCTGTCCGGTAACATTTGTTCCCAAAATTGTCCAATATGCTTCTATAATTTTTTTGTTAATCAGAAAAAAATATATTAAAATCATACCACAACCCTGCATCAAATGTATATATATATATATATATATATATATATATATATATATTACCAGTTTTATCTAGCAGAATAATTAATAATTGCCTATATGATTTCTGTTCAGTTTTTTTTGTGTCACTTTAAGGGTTTAAAAAATAGGACTGGTGTTAGGGGATGCTGTAGTTGAATTTGTTGCTCAAAAAAATTCGAAAAACATTGATAGATGGTTGGTACAATGATTTTCATTATATATGTTTAGATGAGTGTTTTAAATGCCATTATTTGTACAATGCTTTGGCAAAGATGTATGTCATCATGGCCATGCCAATAAAGGTTTTTAATTGAATTGAAGAGAGAGAGAGCAGTTTATTGAATCTGGAACATTCAACAATTCAACAATCACAATTAGATGTGAAGGAGGCAGTATAGGCTTGTTAGTCTCTACCTGTCTCTCTGCCTTTGAACGATTTTCAGGGTGTTTTCTTATGTACCTTGTTGTGTGTTTCATTACATGAGCAAAATGTCATTCTAAAACAAAAATCTAAGATACTGACTCAGTAGGAATTCTCCCCACAAAAAACCTTAATTGAGTTTCCTGGATTTGCTAATCATTATTATGTACTGGTAGATCAGATTTCACCGGAAATTGCCCTGATGCATTTTCCGGTAAGAGGAGAGACTGGCTTACAGAAAAAACAGAAAGAAGATGCTGTATTTCAGTAAGATGAAAGAAGCAACATCTTGTTTGTTGTTGGAATCAAAAATAATTAGTCAGTTATCATCAGTTGGTGTGGGACAAACCAACCTCTCAAAATAGGTCTCCCTTGTTTACAGTAATTATCAACTTTGAGCAAATACATATAATATTATCAATTATTATTATTATTATCAATTATTTTATTATAAAATATATAATTATATATTTTATAATAAAATAATTGCCTGATATCCATTTTATATTGGTCTGAAGAGATCACCTTTATTTTTCTTGAAAGCTTCTGGACCAAAAGTACATTTACTAGATTACGTTTAAATGTATTATTACTGAATAGAGCTTGAAGCGACACAATTCACAATGCAACCTCTATTAAAAGTAACTGTGCTGCAAAACCAGCTTCTAACAGCTAACGTCACTAGTTCTTCTCGTATCATTTTAACTTTGAATTGTTGTTCACAATAATGCATCATCACCATAGATCTCTGCATGGACCTGGGCCTTGGGCTGGATAACATATTTACCCTTTAAATCCCCCCTGACTACGGCCCTTCAAAATAATTACATGATCCCAGACTAACAGCAAGCTAAATACGCGCTAACAAATGTACAGTAACCACCTCCTATTGATGTTTAAATGTAGATTGTACACAGTAAGAAACACCTTACTGATTTAGCTTAACAAGGCTACCTAGCCAGCTAACTATGCTAGGTTGTTAGCTTGTATTATTAATCAGCACTAAAGTGACAAAAACAGCTAGCTAGATAATTCGGAGCTAAGCGATTTTGATTTCATAGATGTCCCTTAGAGAAATACAGAATTCTGTGAACATCAAACTGACCAAAAACAAACAACATGACAGACATTTTTTTTGCTTACGATAAAAGGAGCTAGCAAACATTGCTAACATGTACTCTACTTCGAGAAATAATCCAAGTTAGCAACCTAGCCTCGCTAATTTAGCCACTAGGTTGGTAGCATAGTTTAGCTAAATAAAAGGAGTAGTAGGTTACTGTGTGAGTAGTGTGTTCTTTGTGCAGCAGCAGCCTTTAGTTTGTTGTTTTATAGTGACTTGAAGTAACTTGACTTAATTGAAAGTTACATTTTAAATTTAAATGTAAAAATACAATATATTATTAATCCCAATATGTACAACACATGATGTGTCTATGGGTGAGGCATTGGGAGGCAGACACCAGTGTGAACCCACCTTGTGAACCACCAGAACGTCATGGTGGAGAGAAAACCTGCTGTGGCTTCAGGGCAGGGATTCTGAACAAAATAGGAAAATGTGCAGAAAAACAAGTCAGGGGTAAACAAGGATACAGTTGACATACTTCTATGAGCAGCCAGCAACAAGCGTGTTCTCTGTGTGTGTGTATAAGTGTGTGACCTTCTTTAACAAGTACACAGTGGCCCTGAGGCACACACTCAGACTTCCAGCCACTCAGGACCGTGAACATACAAGTTGGAATTGAAGATGTCCTTGCATGTAACATACATACATGCTTCATGGGCTCTGAGTGGACACTTCAGAAGGATGCATAACTCACAGGGTCTGTGACAACATTGGAGAAGAGAGGAGGTTTCTCATTGAAGCAGCAGAGGATCAGCTCACAGACCACAAGGGCGAAGTAGAAGTAGAACGTAGTGAATCGCAGCTTGTCGTTGACTTCGCTCTGAAATGTAAAATAAAGACACAAAGAGATGAGATGATAGCAAATATGAAATTAAAGGAAAGATCATGTGAGGCTGTGCTAGGACAAACCAGTGCTTTGAGCTAAATGTCAGTGTGCTAACATTCTCACAAAAACCACACTAACATGCCAATTTGAACTAAATGTGAGGTACAGCTAATATTGATCAAACTGTTAGTTTCTGTGGGTATTCTTTCCAAGTTTTGGATGGACAATTTTGATCTGATGCTGGCACTAAATAAAAAGTTAAAAGATAAGATAAGTTGTTTTGATAAATCCTATGAGGAAATTGATATTCCCAACAATCTTCAAAATATTTCATTCAAAACCGCAGTTGCAACATCATTGTTGCGCCAGACGATCACCACAGGTACAAGACAAGTTATTTCTCAAGGAACCATCAAAGCCTGTACAAAATGTCATGGCAGTCCACCTTGACATATGTAAGTCTGGATCTAACTGGTGGACCAGCCTACAGGCCCACAATGCCAATCGTAGAGCGCAAGTCAGACAAAAAAAGGCATTAAGAATGAAAATTGCATAATAGGGCCTCTTTCAGCTAAATGATTAGCATGCTAACCTTCTCACAATGGCAATGTAAGTGCTGATGTTTAGCAGATGTAATTCCAGCACTTTAGTTTAGCCTGCTAATATGCTAACATCTAATCTGAAAAGCCACAAACCTCATTTTACAGGTATTTGATCATAAACTAAAGAGTTAGACAGACCATTTTGACCTGGTTGTCCTGTAGCAAACGCTACCTACCATCGACTAAACATTTTAGAATTCCTGAGACTTTTAACTTGCATCCATTGATTTGAGTTCACACAATATTCCCAACACAGAAAGACCCAAAGGGAAGCCACAAACGTTTTCTCCAAACAGCTAAATCAGATGAACATGATTATAAATAGATGACCTAGTTAGACAGTGTAAAATCCCTGAATCATATTTGTTCATGGGCTAATTTTCTGGATCAACGTGATTATAGCACAAGTCTGCTGTAGCCTGGGCTGACCTGGAACACATGGCTGCGTGGTTTACCACCTGCCTGCCTCACACTGTGACCCACTGAGTGCTCCAGGCTCTGCTTACACGTCTGTCCTGGATTGGTGTTACTTTGAAAGCAGCCACACTAAGTAAAGACTTTTAAATATGAATGAAATGTAATTATTTTGGTTGAAAGTGTTTTTTATCATAAAGGAAGTGCAAAATAATACCATCCATCATGTGGCACAAAAGGAATTCAGTGACAGCAATTGAACACACCTTTTTGTACTTAGACATTCAGGCTGGACAAGTGGAGTCTACTCTTAACTGATATAAAAGATTTTCCGCCCACACACACAGGATATTATTTTTTCATAAACAAATATCTTACAGTAACCCATGGTATTAGCGTCAGTGTGTGGTGCATTCATGAGGCTGACTTGCATTTCTTATACACTTCTGGTCTAATGGATATTTATTTCACACTTTTTACTGTTATTTTGAGGCTACCAAAACAATTGCAGGTGGCATTTCCCATAAATCTGATTATCTCGCACACAGAAACATGAATATGAACCAATGTGCACATCTTAATCGGTGCTTACTCTGAATATTGAGCGTAATCCAATTATAACGTGCAAGTTAACACAGCCAGAAACATTTCCATAATACAGATGATCAAGAATGCCAAAAAGAGCTAAGATCTAACAGAAATTCACCTCAATTTCCTATTTTCATGAGACAGTGTCCAAACTTTTAAGAGTGTGCTGAAGACTTTCCTTTTGAAAAGATTACCCCATGTTTGTCTTCCTGAATCCAACATGTTATATACAATAACCATTACACATTCTAAAGCTATGTTATATGACTTTAAGTGTCAAGTACTTAAATAATTTGTAATTCCAATTTTAGATTAAATATGTTTTTCCCACTTCATTAAAGCAAACAATTACAACTTATTAGGGCTGTGCAATTAATCGTATTTTAATCTCGATTACGATTTTGGCTTGCAACGATTACGAAAACACCGTAATCGAAATAAAACGATTATTATTTTTATTTAAAAAAAATAAAATGTAATAATAATTCTTTTTTTTTTTGGTTTTTCAGTTGAATTATACTTAAAGTTCAGGGTAATCAACTGTTAAAAACATACTGTTCACATTTTCTTTTCAATAAATGGATGTTTTCAAAGTAAATGGATAATCGTTTTTAATAATCGTGATATCAATTATTGACCAAAATAATTGTGATTATGATTTTTGCCATAATCGCACAGCCCTACAACTTATATTGGCTTAGAACAAGCGTGTGATATGTTATATCTGCTATGTTGTGTAGGGGAGAATACATAAAGATTATAATCTGTTAATTGTTTATTGAGCCTGATGAGCTGGTGGCAGCTTGTATGGAAACCTCTTCCACAAGTGTGTGAATGTGTGTGTGAATGAATGCACTGAAAAACGGCGACGTTTAAATGTATTATATCAAGTTATTTGAAATCAGTAATAGTAAATGTAACCTACATTGTATTTAGACTTAAAGGTCCCATGTCATGCTTTTCTGGTTATTACCCGTCCCCTTGTGTGTTATGAAGGTTTTTATGCATGTAAACGGTCTGCAAAGTCACAAACCCTCAAAAGTCACAACCCTCAAAGTACACCCTGTAGCGAGTAAAACTCTAACACAGAAAATACCTGTCTATGCTGCCCCAGAACGCCTCGTTGGACATTTCTCTTTTTCTTCCTGGTACCAAGTGACGTAACGACGGTCCTAATGGACCAATCCGTGGAGCCACACACACACACACACACACACACACACACACTCACTTCACTCACTCACTCACTCACTCCCTCACTCACTCACTCACTCACTCACTCACTCACTCACTCCCTCACTCACTCACTCACTCACTCACCACTCACTCACTCACTCCACTCACTCACTCACTCACTCCCACTCACCGGCGTCCGTCACTCCTCACTCCTCACTCACTCACTCACTCACTCACCTCACTCACTCACTCACTCACTCACTCACTCACTCACTCACTCACTCACTCACTCACTCACTCACTCACTCACTCACGTCACACTCACCTCACTCACTCACCTCACTCACTCACTCACTCACTCACTCACTCACTCACTCACTCACTCACTCACTCACTCACTCCCTTAATCACTCACTCACTCACTCACTCACTCACTCACTCACTCACTCACTCACTCACTCACTCACTCTCTCACTCACTCACTCACTCACTCACTCACTCACTCACTCAGCCTTATCTTTCTCAGCCGTGCTACTCCGCGGATTTCTCAGCCTGAACTCACAGCTCGCACAACTCACAGCTCGCTGTCTCACAGACCCCACGCAGCAACCAGGAAACGACACCAGTAATCCAGCTCACACTGTCCGCTCCTCGCAGCAGCGAGCCCTGCAACGTCCCGCCAACATGGCACCCAGACCCCACGCAGCATTCTCATCTGTTTGTCCTTACTGGTGTCATTTTCTGGTTGTTAATTGTAACACATAATCACTGATGTTCCGCTGTAACGGTGGTGGACTCATAGTGGGCGAGCTGACCAATCAGAGCACAGTGGGCTCATAGTGGGCAGGAGCTCCAACAAGCCGTTTAGGACAGAGAGTGAATACACAAACTATACAGAGATGCTGTATGAGAAACCAATGTGATTTTGGAACATTGAACAATGTAAATCTATTCTAGTAGACTTCAACAATGGAATTATGATCAGTAGAAATGGCCATGACATGACCTTTAATGTTATTGCTTTCAACTAACCTAATACAATTATGTTTAATTTGTTGACATAATACATTGATTAAGTTTAACCTAATATTTAAAGTGGACCTATCATGCTATATTTGAACAATATATTGTAGGGCCATACCTATATAAAGTATATAAATATAGTTTTTTTTTCAAAATACCAAACAGATCCTGCATTTTAGCCATGCCTCATTTTGCTCCATTTGCTCTTTCCAGCCCTGTTTTTGCAGGGGGGCTGATTCTGTGAGCTGCAGCTGACCACGCCCCCCTGCAGGAGAGGGGTGCTCTGATCAGCTGCTGGGCTGTCAGAAGAGGGGGAGAAAAAGAGATCTCCGTCCTCCGTCCTCCGTGTTTTATTATATTATTATATAGAGTCGTTATTCATTTGTTTTAAAGCTCAATAAATAACAAAGAAGACCTTTGACCGGTACTTTTCTAATTTTGTCCGGAAGATTTAAACTTTAACGGACATCTTGACCGGCGAAAGAAAACCTAACTGAAACTCTGCCGCACGGTCCCCTCGTTCCTTGGAAGAGGCGGAGAGGTGGGTGTTTGTCATCTGCTGGTGGACTAACCGGAGAGAATTACAGTGCTTGCCTCGACGGGGAGGGATTGCATTGAATTAAAGCAGCGGGAGCAAACGCTTGCCTCGGGGAGGGAGAAAAAAAGCCACAGCGGAGAATAAACAGAAGGGTAACCATGGCAACCATGCGCGGGAAGTCTTCTTCGCTGCTTTTGTGGCAGACTACAGCGCCACTTACATAGCCTGGCATATGTACTACAGCGTCTCCAGCGCTTTGGAGCGGCAATGGCCGGCCGTGGCCCAACCCCACATTCCCCTGATAGGTGGAGAGTTGGCCCAATAGCCGTAGCGCCACCGTCCTGACGTCAGTGAAATGTTCAAATCTGGATCAATTTTGATCAGATCCGTTGCAGATTTTTAGAGATTTGGGTATGGAGGAAAATAGAGAGGGTTGTGTTTTCTGACACTTGGTGAGTTCCCTGGAACACCGGGGACACATATTCATGTATAAAAGACGTACAAAAGTGCATTTTGCATGATAGGTCCCCTTTAAACTTCTTATAATTGCTTTCAACTCACCTAATTATGTGTCATTTGTTGACATAATACAATTTGAAAAGTCAACATTTCATTTTTTTCAGTGTGGGTGAAGGCTGGCTTGAGTAGTATTGTGTGGAGTGGTTGCTAAAGCTAGAGAGAAGCTATATTAATGCAGTCCATTTACAGCGCTATAAGCAGATTATAACCCATTATGCAGCATTATAGAAAGTGGTACTGAAATGTTTAATAGGTCACTGATTAGAGGAGTGTTGTATTTCCAGCAGCTCGGAGCTTTACAGTTCTGCCAAAATGCCCAACACCTAGCCAAGTAATTACCTGGATCAATGGTTTGCAAGAAAAATAATGTTTTGGCGCTGCTTCTGAATTATATTTGACATGTTGTTGTTGTTGTTGTACCCTGTCTTGTCTTGTCACCTGTGGGATTTGTCTGCAGTGTGCTGCAGCTAACAGCCCTAGAGGTGAGATAAGTATGGTAGGAACAACAGGCCTACTATTCCCTCTGCGCTTAGTGATGCCCTGGGATGACCCCTCTCCAAACATCCACTCACTGTAAGCTCCTGAGACAACGTGGAGAGGGAGGAGAGAGACAGAGCTGACAGATGAAGTAGTCTCAAACGTCAAGAGCACTGAGGAGGCAGAGGAGATAGGAAATGCAGAGCAAAGACAAGAGAATTGGGGATGGGGAAGAGGATGATGGACGTGAACTAAAAAAACTGAACCGTTGACTTACCTAATACAATTATGTGATATTTGTTGACATAATATGTTTCATTCAAAATAATTTTTTTCAGTGTGTAAAAGACATTTGAGAGCCGTTCTCACCTGGCTGGAGGCCTGGAGGATCTTGGAGCGGAAAGGCACGATGGCACATAGCACACACAGGAACCAGAAGATGAAGAGGACCCCTGAGGACTGGACCCCGCGTAACCTCTCAAACTGGATCAGAAACGTGGCCAACAGCTGAGAGAGGAGGGCGGGGGGGGGTATTACACGGAGAGAGGAATGGATGGGCAGAGGCAGAATGTTAGATTAGCCAGGGTTTAATCACTGAGGGCATGTAAGGTGAACCGCAGTCTGACTGGGTCAGCCTTTCATGCTTCATAGCTCTCAGGAGAACTGCGGACAAGCTTCACTTAAGTATACGGCTCTGGATAAATGCTTTCAGCCTGCTACTGATGGCCAGCTAGGACATAGGGGCACCAAAAAACACTAGAACTGACAGGAAGTGATGACAAGATAAATGGTCCGTCTCAAAACAATACTACATGGGAGAGAAAAAAACAATTAAGGGTACTAAAACCAGAGAGAAATAAATGCTATCGATTTATAAATGTGGCGTTAAAGGATCATTTAAATGCTGTTATATTTGCAATTCCAAATTGGTGGTGAGATCCAGATAAATCAAGGAAGACCTTTTTGTTTTTTTATTTTATTGGCAGTGACATTCAAATGTCAGATGTTGCACATAATGTTGTGTAAGTATTTAGATGTTTTTGTTTAGTAACTGCTGAAACTATGACGTTAGGTATGTAGTACATACTGTATGGCAGGGGTGCCCACACATTTTCAGCTTGGGAGCTACTTTCAAAATGACCAAGTCAAAATGATCTACCTACAGGGCCGCCCCTGCCCAATATGTGGCCCCACGCAAAGTCATGAGGCCCTCTGTGCCACGAGCGTCGACGGTGGGGCTAGTGAACTGCGAGTGCCGGAACCTCGCAGCGGCGGAGAAACTGTGGCACTTACACCAATTGCGCCGCATAAGCGCATAATGGTGCGCCACATTTGCGCTTCAGATGAGGCTCCCTACGCGAGGTGAGGCCCCACGCAGTGTGCGTCATCTGCGTGTAGGGAGGGGCGGGCCTGTCTACCTGCATTTTTTATGTAGGTAGACAAGTGGCAAATGCCATAATAAGGATGTTGTTTTTTTTTAAATGCCATGCGATCTACCCACACTACTTTTGCGATCGACGTATTGGGCACCCCTGCTGTATGGGAATAGTATTATGGATTTGGGAAACTGCATTAGAGACTACAACTGCTTTGGGCACATGAAAATGTACCTTTTTAAAACGTTTTATTTAGACTAAACATTAGGGCTGAACCGAATAGCTTGAAGCTTGATTCATAACGTCATCATTCAAATTCTTAATCAACATGCAACAGGTAATAATCAGCATCAGTAATTCCAGTTCAATATATATGCAAGTTGACTTGATTATATCATATCACTGTGAGCTCTGTATTAGAAAATTCTGGAAATATTTTTTTTAAAAGCATTCAATTATAAACGAGAGAGCCACACATCCTCCTTCTGTTTTTTGTTAGACATATCCTCACCATGGTCATGCCGAGCACCAGCGGGGTGACAAAGTAGATGGGCGGCTGTGTGTTTCCCTGCCGCAGCTCGTGGAATGTGTAGAAGAGATCTGTCCAACACACAATCCATAACAACAAGCCAAACACCTGAGAGCAGAGCAAGAGAGAAACGAGGCAAGGTTAAAAAACAGACAGACATCAAATACTTAAAAACCAAAGGTTATTGTGGCTTAGTTCCAGCAACATCATTGGATGCACACTAGGGACTTTCTCTCACACAGCATCACTGGAAACTGAGAATCTCAAGTCTAGAACAGCCAAATGATTGCATTTAGTTTTTCCCAATCATTCTAGTTAGCCTAGCTAATTCAATATCATTTTCTTTTTTTTGAGTAAGAAACTAATTTAACAGCATGGTAAGTCCTCATAATCGTTAAAAAAAGGGGCCGGGACTGCAATTCTTTCATGGCATATTAACTACATTACAAAGACTTGTTGAACAAATGTAAAGAATTGCTTGCATCAACATTATTACATTAGAGAACTATAAGGAAATGAGTGTTGGTACAATTTAAGGGTGTCTATTATCATCTGGCCGGGGACAACAGCTGGAAATGAGCAATGTTGGCTTAAGCTGCCCCATTTACTGTTTATTGTGACAGTTGATTAATGTGGACTGTCCACGACACTATAAACAAATAAACGTAACTGAACAATGTCAGTCAAACACCCTAACACATGCCTGAAGCTAGCCGTCCAATGATTTACATTTGTCTTTAAATCATGCAGTTTCAGGAGCAATATAGTAATTTCCATTGAAATTTAAAATATATCTAACTGTTTTAGAGCTATTCAATGAAGAACAGATCAACCAACAGTACTCATACCACTAGATGGCATTGTGAATATCAGCCACGTGTAACAATCTAACCTTGTTCTGGAGTGCACTGTGATACAATCTACAACAATGAAGTCCCCTCTCACCGTTTTGAACCTGTTCATTATGGACATCATGATGTAGCCCCTGTTGTTCCTCTTGAGATAGAAGAGGTAGATGGGGCAGACGGCCCAAAGGTAGATGCACGGCAGCCATGACAGGACGGAGAGCTGGAAACACTCCGGCAGGTCGGGCCGGTCCGTGTGGAATGTCTGATTGGCTACCTGCAGACACACGATATGGGGAACAACACTTTAGTATAAAGTCTCCTGAAGTTTCACTATTCAGTTACAGTTTGTCCATAATACGCTGTCCTGCACATCTGTTTAAAGTCCTCATATCCAAATGTTGATATATTATTACAGTATACAGTGCCTATTCTACCCTACAGTATTTAATTTCTAAACTTTTCAAATGTTATAAAAATATATATTTCTTATTCTGCAACTTACTTAAACCACATTGTCTTTTATACAATTGTATGTACTTGTTAAGTATATTTGATGTTGCATTGTCGGAGGAGTCTTGGGATTTTCATTTCCAAAAGCCTTTTAATCCTTTAAATGCAGTGCTTCATATTTGATCAAAAAACCCAAACTGGTATGTCTGACCTTCTCACTGGATTTGCAGAAACTCTGCTCAGACATACACTTCCAAAAAGATATCGCCACACCTCCAACACCCAACCAAAAACACCACTTCTAGTTTATCAGAGCAAATGGTTCCCTTCAACACTGTGAGAATATTTACCCATCCGTCATGGGAGAAGGAAACATGATGTGAAATCCAGTTCTTTGTATGTTAGAAACTTGTCTGCCAACCTCTGTGCGATATCATAGTAACTTTAAATGGCAGGATTAACAGCTTTACAAGCAGGTTAGAGGTGAGAGCCAGAGCAGCCTGACAACATTTCTCTAACTGTGGAATATGTAGTAACCAGGAATGTATTGGATTTTAAATCTTTGAAAAGAAGCAAAGGCATCAGCAATCATTTAGGGGTTAGAGATATACCAAGAGGTTTAAATCAGATATTTATATGATGTTCATAATACACATATCCAGCACCTCTTTGATCATATTATATATATATTGCTATTGTAATTTACTCTTTTACCTAGTCACAACATTTGTATTTTCAGTGTATTTATTTGCAAAAAAGTTACACAACACACAATAAACCAAAGTAAAAGATGAATGTGACTGATAGCATTATTATTATTTGTTTATATTCCTTAGATATCGAGATAAGATGGCTATTGTGAATTATCCTTTGCTACGCTAATCATGTGATGAAAAACTGATACTGTGCCTGCCTTTATTCCATTTAACCTTGAAACTTGAATTGCATGCAGAGCTGCCAAACCCAGAAACTCTTTTTATTCCTAAATGAATCAGATCAAAGACTGTCAGCTATTTATAGAGGTGGGAAATGAAGAAAATCTAAGAAAATGCCATTCTGCAAAATAATACACCTTAAATAGGATATAATATGCTAATGTTGTGCCTCTACTGTGACATGTTTCCATGCTGAAATGTTCAAAAAGGTCATTGTAACCTTTGCAGACCTTTTACATGCACTAAAACCTAATAACACACTACAGGAAAGAGAAAACCCCCAAAAAGCATAATAGGGCCTCTTCAAAACATCTTATGAGACACAGTTTACCACAAACACAATGCCGAATATGGGGTGGAAATAGATAGGGCTAGTGGTTTGGTGTCCTCAGATCAGGGGACCAGGGAAGCACAGGTTCAATCCCACCTTGACCACCGCAGGCAACATGCCGTTGTGTCCTTGGGCAAGACACTTCACCTTAAACTCCTGTTGGTATTGTCCACAGTATTACATGTATTACATGTCTGATATGTAATAGGTAATGCTTAGCGCTTTGAGCACTTGGAAAAGCACTCAAAAAAAATACAATTCATTATTTTTTTCTTTTTATGAATTATTAAGGTTTTATTAAATGTCATTTTTCAACACTGCAATCACCAGAATGACATTCCAATCTCCTTCATTGTATTGAGTTGACAGTAGAAATTCCAGTGACATATCTGAAAACCAAAATGATATAATTCCAGGCCCGTGAACTCAATTTGGATGAAAAGGTTCTGAATCTGTCATAATGAGGCTATAGGCGCTTTCTTGACACTTTATCTTCCCCTACATTTCTCTCCTTCTCTCTGATGCACTTGACAACGGCTGACAGTGAACTCGCCTTCAGTACACACGAGACACACCATGCAAACTGAAGAAGCAATTAAGGCAGATAAACCGACGGCTGTGTTTTGAGTGTTGTCGACATGCATCAAGATTATCAGTGAGACAGTTTTCAAAGGGTTGTTGCTACCACTAAACCACACAAAGCTGAACTTAGCTCACAAGTAACAGTGGCTCTTTCAGATCAACTGCAATATTAAAGCAACAGTAAGCAATGTTCTGCATCAACAGGATGTGTGTTTGGGAATTGCCATGTGAACTTTATCAAGTAATGCAGAAATGCCTAAAGAAATGAACTTCTGTAAAATGAGGTTTAAATGTGATGAAGTGAACTGTGCACTTCTGCTTTCATATCTTATTGATACTAATACACCATTGCACATGTTGTAATATACATGTTTTTATTTTAACTTGTTTTTTTTGTTTTTTTATTGGACTACTTTAAATTCCTGTGATTATTTATGTGTATTTCCTTTCATAATTGTTTTGGCAAGTTTATTAACTTAAAATTCTTATTTTTATATATTTATATTGTTTGTTCTTCAGATACTCAATTGGTGTTTCTCCTAGTGTTGATATGTATATAACTGCTGTTTATTTTGTAGAGTTATGTATTTTTTTATTCCATTTTTTTTAACTCATGTCTAATGCCTAACATTTCTGCTGTGACATATCAATTGACCAATGTGGGATGAATAAAGTATACAGTTTATCCATCTATATATATAAATATATGTTTTATTTATTTCATTTTATTCTAAAATGGAGCAACTGTGTGATTCCGACTCTGATATGTTAATGTGTAACTTTTTCCACACCATGCATATGAAAACAGATAATTTATTTTGCAGCAGAGCAACAATAACTGAGTGATCCGAGGACATCCGGAGGAGATGAGTAAAGTAAACATGAAGCATAGTGGGATGCAGCCCTGACTCAGCCCGTGGTTATTGTGCTCCCCTGGACAAACACAGTACAGGGCCCACCCACAGACGGAACCAAGATAAACACAGCTGCTGGCCAACTCTCCGACACCACCACACCCTCCTGTGTGTGTGAAAGTGTTGCTGTGGTATGAGGTGTTGGGTAATTGCTTGTGTTGGTGTGTGTGGCAGCTTTTAAATGTCTCTTCTTAAGGAGTCCTTTACCCTCTGGCCCTAAACACAATGTGATGTGTAAATGACCACAAGCATATATTTCTGTCTTTTTTGTCTATCATACACCCAGAAAAGGTGTTTAAGCTTTTGAATACCTGATAAGGCCTGAACATATCCTCATTTGTTTGAATAGTTTTTGGTCTATGCATCATACAGTACATCTAACTGAATCCAGGGGAGCAAATAATTAAGACCCTTATGTTGTTAATATTGGAACTTTTTGGGATACTTACTGTTTTACTTGCCAAGAACCAAAATTAGAAGTATGTAATGTGCAGTCAACGTAAAGCTACAGCCAGCAGCTATTAAGCTTAGCATAAAGAGAAACCCATTTTTTGTGCCAAAAAACACCTATTAGCTCCTCTAAAGCCCCAAACCCTAACCCTAACACCAACAAAAACGTACATTGAAAAGCAACAAATGATGATTAAATGTGACAAAAGTGTGTACCAGTTTAGGGTGAGGTGTAAAGAAGTATATGGTAAACATATTTCTCAATTACTGCTAATAACTTTTTACTTAATGACAGAATGTTGCTAGGTTTAAAGTCACCAACATCTGATATTACCAACCCATCTTAAAGTATAAATATCACTGATTCTAATCCACATATTTCCCCACGTGTGCAGATTAAAATAAAAGTCATTCATGCATAACCCCATGTACAAACACACTTTGGTTTTTGTACAGATAGAAAAAAGAATATGAAGCTAGTTAAGCAGTTAGCTTTAGATGTGCTCTAAACGTCTATTTGATATTCAACTGATTATTTAACAAGGAAAACTGAAACAAGTTTCACTGGTTTAGGTTTTCAAATGATAAACATTTGCTGCCTGTCCTAGTCTCAGATTAGAGTAATTGAGGTGTACGTTTAATTACAATTACTTCAGGTTTTCCAGTTAACAGGTGTAAATAAATACCAGCCTGACTTTAGTGTCACACAGTATTGCATTTAAGAGTAACTAAAAAGAAAAGGAACATTTACCTTTTCTGCAGGTTTTGTTTCTCGTTCATTTAAAAAACCTGACAATACACTGTCAAAATAAACTACAATGCAAATGTCTGCTAATCATGTAACCAACGTTTTTCTTTATCCTTCCCCAGCCCTGTATTTAGGACTTCACTCTCGTCCTCCATGTTTGCCAAAATCACGTAACCTTGAATAATTGGAAACAGTATTGATAATTCTCTCTTTGGGTATTTTGTTCACAACAACACATTTGATAAGAATATCTTACTGTCTTCTGAAGTTTTAGAGACGTAACGTATATCGACTAATCGAGAAGAATATTTGATAGATCGATTATTAGCACAACACTGGAGCCAAACAGGCCGTTGTCACGCTCCTTTTGCCTCTGCACCATATTTGTTAGAAGTAATGGATTCTGCAGAGTTTTGCATTGCAAATGTGTCCACAGCACAACGTGTCTCCATTCCAACGTTTTTTTCCTCATGCCAACCTGAGCAGCAGGGGAGCGGCCAACAGCACATTATCTGTGTTGTGTTTGTAACACACCTCCCTATCACTCGGCATGGAACAGAGGGCTGAAAGCAAATGTCACATTTAAAAGCATGTAGTTATCTCGACTGCCCACTGGGGAAAAGGCAGCGAGTAAATATCCAGTTTAATCACTAACCAGACCATTGTCTTTTATTTGCTCACACATATCACATTTTTTATTATCTTGGTGGCAGACACTGAATGCACATAAGAAATGGTTTAATTAATTTCTGCTATATCGGCTCACCTTCTAAAAGGAATATTCACACAGTGGTGAAACTTTTTAAATATTTGTCAGGGGAAATTAACATTTTCGTTCGTTTGAAAGTGATAAAAAAAAGGAGA